TCACAGATAAGTTGGTGACACTATACTAATACCTTTACAGTCTATTAATAAATATCAAAGTTATCAATTGCATTAAATGATGATTTTCAATTTTTCTTTATTTTTTAAGGGTAAAATAAATCAAGATATTTTAATATATGTATGTAATTAACCACTCCTGACATCGATAAATACATTCAATGATTGTATTCACATTCAATACAGTACATACGAATGACAACTACTTGTGACTGCATATGGAAGCTCAAAAATATTGCACAGCTTCCATCTGCAGCCATTACACTTAGGAGTTCTACTTAAGATTGTTGCTTGTCAATTTGATTTGGATTTACTCAACATGCAACAACCTTAAGAATAGTTACAAATTTACTCTAAAGAAATTACGCCTGGGTGAAAGTGGCCATGAATTCGGTGACAATCTTCTTGAGTGCAGCATCAGATTCGGGCGTGATTTGTCCGTCCTTGGCGATGGTGGCCAGGAGACCCTGGTGGCTGGTCTTGATGTGCTGGGTAAACTCCTTTTCGAAAGCTGTGATCTTGGTGGGGTCCAGTTTGTCCAAGTGTCCACGTACACCACAGTAGATAATGGCAACCTAGAAAGATGGTATTAATTAGTGACACACCTCATTAGATTTTAGAGACTTTGCTTGAATTTCTAATTTGATTTCAGCCTACCTGTTCCTCAATAGCCATGGGCACATACTGTCCCTGCTTGAGCAGTTCAGTAAGGCGCTGGCCACGGTTGAGCAGCTGCTGGGTGGCGGCGTCAAGGTCAGAGCCGAACTGTGCAAAAGCGGCCACTTCACGGTACTGAGCCAACTCCAGTTTCATGGAACCAGCCACCTGTGCCATTTCGAAATACACTAATTAGCTTTCTTATGATATAAGATTTTAAAAGGTCCCATGTGACATTACGCATACACATACCAGGTACATAAGTCACATAGAAAATAACATAAAAATCTGAAGAAAACCAATGTAAGAAGTATCATCCAGATAGTATATGGCCTTTTTTGTAATCTAACCTGCTTCATGGCCTTGGTCTGGGCAGCGGATCCTACACGGGACACAGAGAGACCGACGTTGATGGCGGGCCGGATACCCTTGTAGAAGAGCTCAGTCTCCAAGAAGATCTGTCCGTCAGTGATGGAGATGACGTTAGTTGGAATGTAGGCGGACACATCACCGGCCTGGGTCTCGATGACGGGCAGAGCGGTCAGGGAGCCACCGCCCATCTTGTCGGACCTGGAAATTGTGCGACATATTTTAGCAAGCATAAAAGCGGGTCATTGTATTTTTATAATTTTAACTGCAGTAATATAGAGCTATAATTATGTTATTCCATACATCTTAGCCGCACGCTCGAGCAGACGGGAATGGAGGTAGAACACATCACCAGGGTAGGCCTCACGACCTGGGGGACGACGCAGCAGCAGAGACATCTGTAATAAGAGTTTTACAGCTAAGAATAGAATCCTTCATTACATGATGCATATATTTTAACTTAATATAAAACTTGTACAAACAAGTGATCAATTTGCTGACTTATATCAAATAAGTAGCTTACCTGACGGTAGGCTACAGCCTGTTTGGACAAGTCGTCGTAGATGATGAGGGCGTGCTTGCCGTTGTCACGGAAGTACTCGCCCATGGCACAACCCGAGTACGGCGCCAAGTACTGCAGGGGCGCGGCATCGGACGCGGTGGCAGACACGATGATTGTGTAGTTGATGGCACCTGACATTTAAATTTAATTATCATTTTAGCATGAAAACTGACCCTAACATAATTAGATTAATATTACCATAAGAGTGATTTAGTGTCACACAACTTATGTCCAATTGTTTACAAAAGATACTCACCAGCATCAGTCAATCTCTTGACAATTTGTGCCACGGTAGATCTCTTCTGACCGATGGCGACGTAAATGCAGTAAAGCTTCTTCTTCTCATCCTGTCCCTTGTTGAAGCGCTGCTGGTTGATGATGGTGTCGATGGCCAGCGCAGTCTTGCCGGTCTGACGGTCACCAATGATCAACTCACGCTGACCACGACCAATGGGCACCAAGGAGTCTACAGCCTTAATACCTAAAAGTAAAATTTGACTTAACACTGCAAATATCATATTTACATTAAAATTAATTGTTTTTTTACGCAATTGATAAAAAAATCTATCTACCATGATGATCTGACATTAATTTGTATATTTGATAAAATTAACATTTCACTTTCATTCACTTAATGAATTTTTGTACATAAACTGCAAAAATATCTCACCGGTCTGCATAGGCTCGCGTACAGACACACGGGGGATGATACCAGGGGCCTTGATACCGACTCGCATACGGGACTTGGTGTCGACGGGGCCCTTGCCATCAATGGGGTTACCCAGGGCATCTACCACACGGCCTAGCAGCTGGTCGCCAACAGGCACATCTACAATGGCACCAGTACGCTTCACAATGTCGCCTTCCTTGATGAACTTGTCGTTACCAAACACGACCACACCAACATTGTCGGGCTCCAAGTTGAGGGCCATTCCCTATACAAAAATAAAAAAATACTTTCATACTGAAACTTATTGATTTCATAAATTTTTAAACCCTTTAATTAAGTAAAATTATTATAACCAATGTATGCAAATTTTCCAAATAACTTCTCTTTTTTACACAATGCAGTTTATTACATAATGTAGTTTTGTAGACTTAAATTGGTTTTTGCAGTCCACTATCACAAGATCACCAACACTGGTACCAAGTTTACAACATCAAATAACAACAATGAACATAAATGTAATTTATATTTAAAGCTTAAAAAAATCTGTAATGTTTCCAGGGCATATTGTCTACACATAATTTAATTAAATAAATAACCTTAAAACAGCAGTTACCTTAAGACCAGAGGAGAATTCCACCATCTCCTCAGCCTGGATGTTCTTGAGGCCATACACACGAGCAATACCGTCTCCGATGCTCAACACACGGCCAGTCTCTTCCAAGTCAGCCTGTATATTATTATATTTATTTATTACATAATACATTAAAAACACTAAATTTATGCTTTTTCCAATATTATTAAACAATTAATTATATATAGACAGGCAGATGGATAGTTTAGAATAATATTGATTAGGTACATAAAATGTGTATATTGTCAAACTTTTAGTATAAAATCACTGCAATATATTCAGCAAAGTTGTGCTATAAAAGTTAAGAGATAGTGAAAAGTTAAATGTAGTAAGATAATTGACAAAAAATTATGTCAACCCATATTAAGAGATAAATAGATAAATATGGAATGGAGATTTTCTTATTATATAACATTGCAGACGACTAAGAACACTTATTATGTACTTTTTTAACATTACTTACTAATTAACTTATTTATTATATGAAAATTTAGTCACTTAGCTATGAATGTTTCTTAGATTATCAAATATCAGCTGATTATTGTAAATTCATTCAACTACAAACACAGTTAAAGAAGTTTGAATTAAAACATATGTTTATTTTATTATTAAAACTGTTTTTAACTAAAAGTTTTCAACATTTTTATTTTAAAAAAAAGGTCATATGGTGAAACAAAGTAAAATGAAAAAAGAAGGTGGAACTTAGCTTTATGTTTAAAAATTATACATAACATAGGAAATGATGCAGTTTACATAATTCACATACCTTTGGTGCGGCACCGAGGATTCTCTCCTCCAGGATGGTGGAGATTTCGACAGCTCGTTGTGGGCACGAGACATGCAGCTTGCGGGACCCCACTGCCACCGCAGGAGCGGCGACCTTCGATACCTAACCCCAACATAACCAATACGAAAATATTAATACCCGTAATTTATATATGAACAGGCGAGGTTTCATCAGGTTCACTACTTTTGTTCAATATTTAATAATTCACTACTGAATAAACTTGCGGCACTAGGATATAATACCGATTATCCACTGTTACATAACGAATTGTCGGACGAGTTACTGGAGACATTTTCTTTGTAAACACTACTTATAAGGTACTATTATACATTTCAAGGGACATAATAAAGAACATAAATGAATAACTATTAATAAAATTCTTGGAATCTACAAAATTTATATCAACTTTATCGAAATGATCCAACATGATAACCGGAAAATTGCGATTTACAGTGCCATATTATAAATTTTGTAACAAATACTTAATAGTAATAGGATAATATACCTGGGACGCTGCATTAGGCAGGCGCCTGGCCACGGACGAGGCCAAACGAGCGGAGATGAGAGACATTTTTTCTTGAATTCAATACTAATGGCAGACAGGAGGGTCGTGTTCTTCTCCGCTCGCGACTCGTTGCGATATTACCGGAAATGACACAATCAATAGGGGTTGTCTTTGGTTCATGCGCACTAGAAACTAGAAATTTGCTAGAAATACGAAATTTTAATAGGGCGATATATACACGAACGTAAGTAACAGATAAAAAGTATATAACGCATTAATAAGAATTTAACCTGGAATACTTATTATTCCATAAAATCCTATGTAGACACAGAAATTAGTAAATAGTTTGAAACACTTCATTGAAACTGTTTTATTTTTCTTCATTACTTAGCTGACACAGATGCAGGTGTAACCGAAACTGTATTATAATTTACTAAAACAATAATACATTTTTAGAATATCTTAACGTTACTAAAATTCTAACCCAAAGAACTAAAGTCTACCCATTTTCCGGAAATATGATTATTTATTGCTTTATTATTTTGGGTCTGTATTGTTTTTATGACATATGTCTTATGACATTTGACAATGTCAATGTCAAACATTTTATTTTGTGCTATCCGAATTTGTCATAACCGTGATAACAAGATGTGTTGTGCTTATTATTCTACTATTATAATAAATTATATACTTCCTTTAACGTGATGGCTATTTTCGAGAAGTCATTCCAAACCAAATCTACATTGGACGATACAGAAACACTCATTTGTACATTAGAAAATGCGCAAAACGTCGATAAACATACTGTAAGTTTTCTAGTTCATCTATCGGTAAAGATTAATTGCTTTTCTTCGTGCTCAAGGATTTAGTTTGCTACAGGAATATATTTTACGTGTGCAAAGAGGACCATCAAAAGAAAACAAATGGGATGTCTCGCGGAGGTACAAACACTTTTCAGAACTTCATACGAACTTGCAAAAGTCAAATATCGAGTTACCACTGCCCCCTAAGAAACTTATTGGAAATATGCAACCATCCTTTATTGCTGAGAGACAAGCTGCTTTACAAGTAAGATTAAAGTTCTTCATTAAATGATAATATAAATATTTATTATTTAAATTATTTTTTATTGGTCTAAGAGATGTATGGAGGATTAGTTCATACTGTGCGGACCATGCGGATGATTATTTATTGGTCTTAAGACAAGCCCAGTAAGATGCTTATTTGATATCAAATATAACAGATATTTTAAACTAGCAAATCAAAAAGTGTTTTAGCCACATGTTCAATTGCAATAAAAGATTTACAAGTAATCTTCTTAATATCTTAAGAACATTCATTGTTTCATTTATGATTGCATTATGATTTAAATTAAACCTCTGAAAACATCTTTATTATTATTATAAAATAGGAGTGATAAGTTTTGGCGGGTCTTTTTGTTAGTGACATCCTTAAGTGAAATAAATATAATATAAAGAACAATTAAACTTTGTTAATTTTTATGTAAAAACTATAACCATTTACTTTCCTACAACTTAACAATAGTTTTGTTTTAGAATTACATAAGAGAAGTATTAAAACACCATGTATTAGCACTCTCATTACCAGTAAGAAGTTTCTTGGATCCAAAAAATTATTCTGTCACTATTACAGGTAAATATTTTATATGTATGTTGCAATAAAAGAAAGTATTAATAATAATGTAAATATAAAATTTCCATTTCTATTAATAATATAATAATCAAAGAAATAAACTTTTTCACAACAATATAAAAAAATCTGCACCAAAATACTGAGGTGACATGATAATGTTCTCAGTTTGTTTATAGATAATGAAAGAGATAGTATGTATTTGTAATGTTTTAGCTAAGACTTACAATTTACTTAACTTACAACATGAGTTACATGTCCAGGACTGGGTTGGGACAGCGCAGGATAGGAGAAAGTGGAAACTTCTGTTGTCGGAGGCCAAGGCCCACTTTGGGTCGCTGTGTCACTTTAATTAGTAACAACATGTATAATCATTATTGATCAATACAATATAACTGTTTTATTCTTTTAGAGCAAGCTCTGCAAACAATATCAATAGCATTGCGTGGAGATGGTCGGTATGAATTAAAAGGTCCTCTACCAGATATTGGTTGGAGGATTAGAAAACAATTTTTTATGGTAAGATTCAAATACATTTAAAATTAACATATATAATAGACGGAACATTACTAAATCAAATCTTAGGGACCTTCAAGAAGCGAGCATACCAATTTCTTAAAGGCCGGCAATGCATTTACAGTTCCTCTGGTATTACAGATGTCCATGGATGTTGTTGATCACCCCGGTGTTCCCGCCGCTTGTTTGTCCCCTTCTCTTATAAAAAAAATCATACTGTAAAAATCTCTAGGATCTAGTTTGAAACTTTTGATAACAGTCCTGATGATTGTGTTAATACAATTATAATTATAACTGAAGGAAGTAGCGTAACATAGAAACATAGGATGTCTTCCACTTTATGCATATCTTCTGTCTGGTCTATGTCTTCAGTTGTTAATCCTACTGCAGTTTATCAGTCTGTAACATTGTTTGAAAGTTCTTTAATATTTGACCTAAAACATCTTATCAGTATGTGATAAAAATAATTGTTTATTGTGTGTTACTTTATTGTGATAATTTAATGTTATTGTCCTTTGCAGGTGACTGACACAGATAGTAACAATAATTGTATATTGGAATGGATGAGCTATGGTCCAGATAAATACCTCAGCGGTAAAGATTTACAAACTGCATTCAAATGTTTGCAGAATATGTCTGTAAGTGAATATGTATTGATTTATTAACCCTTAATTCGATGGTGTCCAGTGTCACGAATTAATTAAAAAAAAATCTACTGAACTAGTTTAGAGGAAATAACGTAAGTATGACTTTACTAAAAAAACAGTTCTTTTGCTACAAAAAATTTCGTCGAATTAAGGGTTAATAAAAGATTACTCCCTCATTATCACAGATTGGAATTTGAACTTCTTGGGATTTTTTTATTTCTATCATAAAGTTGTAAACAAGCTAGTGGCCTATAGACATCCGAAATTGCAGATGCTTTGAGTACCTTTAATCCGCAGAGGAAGGAAAGCACAGAAAGAGGATTGGATGTTGTGAAATTGTGGTTTTTATACTATGATCTGTAAAGGCCATCATTTATAAGTGGCAGATTAAAGGAGGGCAGAGTAGCCCAAGCCCAAACCCAAAAATAACCCAGAATTGAATGAAGCATTATATGCAGTAAAAATTCTTTATATTTTCAGCACCCTTATATAGATGAATTATTAGGATATCAAAATTTAGAAACAGGTGCCTATGTGGTTAGAAAAATACATGAGAATGGAAGTGTGAGGGATATTTTATATGGTACTGAATATGGAAAGAATTATTTAGCAAAATATGGCAACCCTAAAGTAAGGAAACCTTTTACAACTGGACAATTATCACATTACGGATATCAGATACTGCAAGCATTGAAGTTTTTACATGATAAAGGATTACCGCATGGTATGTATTTCAATACCGTACCTATGATAGTCTGTTAAAGTCGGTTTTCACATTTTTAAGCCGAGATGACATTGTTTTTGTATGTGCCTATACTTGGTGGAATAACATGATTACTGTAGAATTAAATACAATACTTTAACGTATAATTTTTCTACATAACTTATCAATACAATGTAATGTTAACAAGTAGAGCTTGTATGGCTTTATTAGTTTATTTCATGTGATGTTATTGCATTTGTTTTTCTTGATAGTCTATTGTTTTAGAGTGATTTTTTTTACCGACTATTTAATTATCACTTGCTATGAATTAATAATACGATATACTATGAACTAATAGAGCGTCGATGGCTCAGTGATCAAGCACTTGACTTGCAATCAGCAGGTCCTGGGTGCGAATCCCGTCATATACCAATGTGTTTTTCGATTTCCGATTTACATATGTACATTTATCCGACGTTCTTACGGTGAAGGAAAACATCGTGATGCAACCTGCACATATCTGAGAAGAAATTCAAAGATATGTATGAAGTCAACCAACCCGCACTTGGCCAGCGTGGTTGACTATGGCCTAATCACCCTTAAGTTCGAGTAGGCTCCGAGCCCCTCGGTGGGGACGTATAGTGAGCTGATGATGATGATGAATTAATATTTTCGGACAAATAGTAACAACAGACATATACAAATTGTTATTTTTTTTTCTAGGACATATACACCCAGGAAATATAACAATAGAGAATCAAAGAGCACTACTTTTGGATATAGAGAATGTATTACTGGGTGTGCCTTGTCTATACCGACCTTATTTGTTAGAGTTGCGCCACACGAGCGCTGCTGAGTCGGTCGATGTGCACTGCTTCGGTAGGACGCTGTATGAAATGGCCTTGGCTACGACTTTAGATCAGTATTATTGTGATATATACCCGGAGGAAATGTCTGAAGATTTAGGTAATTTTTTTTTCAGTATTAATTCGTGTGATCTTTACCATGGGTTTATACTTTAAAAATTCTTCTTAAAAACAGATACATAGAAATACAGATGAATAGAGAATATCTTTCTTTTTAAGTCGGTTAAAACCTATTGTCATTCTCTTATTTTTTTCTTAAGAAAGTCCAGGTAAGAATCTTTTAGGGGTTGAATGCTAGAAATTTTGCTGTGATATCGTGAATGGCTATAAACCGTACTGACTGATGGCTTGTAACAGATTGACTTATTTACAATCTTACTAATATTATAAATGCGAATGTTTAGATGTATGGATGGATATTTTTTTAAGTTAAAAAAGATATCTCCGAATCGGCTGCATATTTTCTCACTGAAATTTGGCATACTATAGTTCGTAGTATGGAAGAACACATAGGCTACTAAAGTATTTTTAATTCCACGCAGACGGAGTCGCGGTTAACAGATAGTACTGTAATATTTTATTTAAATACCCTATGACTTGTTTTAGTATCAGTACTCCGTCTATGTCTATCCTCTACATCATGTAAGCACGGCGGGACCTCGCTGGACGACCTCCTGCACCACCACTTCTTCACGCGCGCAACTCTGAACGGTCTCACGCCGCGCCCTGACACACGGCAACATCTCAAGTTACCGCTGCCTCTGAAAGACGAAATCAAGAAAGCACTAGCTTGTGCAGAACTCAGACTCAAAGCCGATCAGAAATTAGTAAGTGTTTACCACGTTCATGACGTCCATTTCTTGAAGGTAATCTTACTAATATTATAAATGTGAAAGTTTGTATGGATGGATGGATATTTATTAGAGATTTTTATAGAGATTATATTTCCAAAACGGCTGCATGGATTTTGCTGAAATTTGGCATCGATGTCGACCATAGCCTGAAAGAACACATAATTGAGTTTTAAGCAGTAAGAGTTCATTGTTTAATTTATAGGTAAATTTATAAGTACTGTTAATCTTTGATAAGCAAGAAACCTCTATAAGCTAGAGTGTTTGTCCATTCCCGATGGACAAATTCAATAAACGAGATATTCTAGTATTAGAGAAACTGCTACAAGCGAGAAAAATATATTGGTCTCTCTAACTCTTGATTATCCATTCGACTGTAATTCTGTTAAAAAATATTCTTATGCTAAAATATTATTGCAGTTAAGGAATGCAAAGAGAGAAGTAAGAATACAAGAAATATTAAATTCAGATGTGGAAATGAAGAAACAGAAACGAAGAGTGGTTAGTATTCTTAAAGACAATATTTAAAACTTGTTTGATTTTTAAACACGTGAAATGCCACTAACTTTATGTCGTCCGGAAGTGTACTAAGTAGTGCGAGTCTATAGCATTGAGGTGTTAAAATTAATTGTAAATTTTTAGAAGAAACGCGACAGTATATGGAAGTCGACATCATCTCTGGCGGAGACTGTGCGCTCGCATAGCGCCAGCACCGCCTCCTCGCCCACACCGCCTGTACCTTGTGAGTACACAGTGTTACACACACTAATCTATACATACATCATCAGCTCACTATACGTCCCCAACAAGGGGCTCGGAGCCTAACCTAAGTTAAGGGGGGATTAGGTCAACCACGCTGGCCAAGTGCGGGTTGGTTGACTTCACACATATCTTTGAATTACTTCTCAGATATATGCAGCATCACGATGTTTTTCTTTACCGTAAGAACGTCGGATAAATGTACATATGTAAATCGGAAATAGATAAACACATTGGTACATGGCGGGATTCGAACCCAGGACCTGCAGACTTTCAGTCAAGTGCTTGACTCCTGAGCCACCGACGCTCTAATCTATACATACACATACATTTAATTGTATGATACTTAAATTCAACATAGCTATATGTATTTAGTTAATCTTTATGTACTTTACTTTTGTTATTATGTCATATACTTAAATTTCGTTAGTATCAAGGCCTATTTTATAAGCTCGTAGTACTGCTCTAGTAAAACTTCTTTACTAATCGTGGGTTCCTGAGACCAAAATATCCGTTTAAAATATTGTTATCCCTGTTTTGTCTAAGATAATGAGAGGGATGACGATATGTTTTATACATTGATTTTGGTTTCAGTAACCAATGGTAAATCTTAATTATTTTATTTAACTCACTCTTACGTTTAAGAAATATATACATACTGTATTGAATTTATTGTGTTTAGTACTAAATTTGTCATACAATTACAGCGGGTGATACGAGTGGCAATGGTTCCGTGTTGACAAGTCCGTCTGAAGGTCGCGGTGCGTTGCTTCAAGCGATCTGTTCCTTTGATAAAACTCGACTGTCTAAAGTTAACTCACGTTGACGAAATTCTAATATAGACTGTGACAAATAAATACATATTCTTGTCTCTGTTTTGTCTAAGAGAGTGAAAGGGACGTCAATATGTTAGTCCAAGTATCAATCATCATCAATCCTTTATATGCTAAGGGTGTCTTTAATTGGAGATCTTGTATGAAAAATCTATACTAATTTACAGCTTAACAATATTAAATGACAATGGCTAGACATGTGTAAATGAACTACGTTCAGGTCACATTGAGTTGAACCATTGAGCTGCGACTCAACAACTAAATTAGTAACTCAGACCTCATCGCAATGTACTAAAACTATCATAGCTAACGAATCTGCATGGTGACTCGCAGTTCGTACCTAGAAAGGCAAATAATAACTTTATTCAGGTCCAATAGTGCTGAGCTGCGAGTCAGTTAACTGATCTATTTCACACATATGAAGTGAGTTGATCTGCAAGTCATTAATTTTAGTTGACTGACTGTGGCTGTAAGATAATGCAAAACCTATTTATGAATAACATTTCTAATGTGTATATGACAGTAATACTAAAAAAAAACTTTTTTGTCTCTTTTCTATATTCAGTAAACAATTGAATACGGCCTTGCAATAATAAAATAATTACGCGAATTACTTAAAACCACGTGAATGCGGTTGAAAGAACCATACAACTCCACTGTCAACTATTTTACCAACAATTTCGCTTCAAACCTAAAGGTATTAATCAAGTTTGATCTGTTTTTGTTTATAGTCTACTAGTCATAATTATTAGTAATTTACAGGTTATTTTAATGAATTTATAAATTGTCAAAATATAAATAAGAAATGCCTTAAAGTGTACTTTTCCTCAGGATTATTTTTTTTTACATCGGTTATTACGCAATAGATTAAAAAAATACGTACTTTCTAATATTTAGGTAACTAGTAAAAGTATTATTACATACCTATTAATATTATGCAAAAATAAATTCCAGCTTGATACCTTCACGAGTTTTTGAGAAAAAGGGTCTTGACAGACATACGGACGGACAACAAAATGATCCTATAAGGGTTCCGTTTTTTCCTATGAGGTACGGAACCTTAAAATCGGTGAATATATGCTATCGATTTATAATAACTTTATTGCAAACATGAATATTTTTAATCTTATAAAGATTTAACTATATACAAATTATATTTCTATTTTAAAAATTACAATCCAGTAAATAGTGTTTATTTTTCCAAAGATATAAATGTTTACTTTTCTATGACATTTAATATGTAAAGGTAGCTTTTTGATTTAATAAATTTATTTTAAAAGTATATAAATTTGTTATGATTTCAATTTCGAGTAAAAATAATCAATTCGTCTAATAAAAATGTTTATGAACCCGCATATTGTGAGTTTAGCATCAAAAGAACAAATAGGTACTAAGGTTCCCAACCATATTGGGAATTGCGCGTCGTTACGCAGAACAGCTTTAGGTGTAGCGGGGCGTAAAGGGAATCGAGAGAGGGCACTGCGCAGCGCGCAAATGTCTTCAGGCCTCTTAAAATGGCTCATATCAAAATACTGTTTCCGATATAAAATATAATTATAATAGGTAATAAAAATGTTAACTTTTCCAGTATAAAAATGCTCAGTTATTTTAGTCTGAGCTATTTTTAAGTTGTAAGAATATATTATAAAGCCAGCTTCACTTTCAACTGAATAGACCGACAGTTTATATAAAACTTACGTGTTTATCTGACAGTTATGTCGGCTACATACGTACGTTTTAGCATTTAAACAGAATGTGTGTAGCCGGCTTAGTTTATAACCTAAAAATATATTGAAATTAAACCTTATAGTTTAATTAATTCAGTACAAGTGTAAATTTATATAACTATTAAAAACAATCGAACAAAAGTATTGCTTAAAGAATTTACACTTGTTATTAAGTAGTTTATTTTGAATATTAATGTGGTTAAGCAGTTTTATTAAACGTTTCCACTGCCGAAGCATATATGTCCTACACATTATCTTTTCTAAACATATTAGAGGATAGTATAGTTTTTAATCAGATCATGTGCATTGGCAGTGTAAACCTACGTTTAGGATCAATAAAGTTTAAATTGTGCAAAAAAAGTGATAAACGACTGGTCAGTCATTTTTATTGGTTAATTTTTGGAGCTATATCTGTGTAGAAGCTTTAAAGTTATTACAAATAAGATTTTATTAAATTATTTTAATATATTATTGTTGTAAGTGAAAAATAAATATACAGTTGCATACGTTTTGTTTTATTATAATAACTAGCTGTAGCCCGCGTATCCGTTCGCGCTGAATTTAAAAAAAATGAGTAGCCTATGTGTTCTTCCAGAGTTTGTTCTATATGTATGTCAAATTTGATTAAGATCCGTTCAGCCGTTCTCGAGGTAACTTCAAACATCCATCCATCCATTGGAATTGCCCGGTGAAACACCACGACCACACAGAAGATAGCCGTGAAGTGGAAGCAATTCCGCGTTTCTTCTGATGAGTGTGCGTCCCGGAGGCCTAATTTAGTCCTCTTTCCCTTCCCACCCTTTTTCTTAAGGAAAGGATGGGATGTGGAAGTAGACGTTCCAGATGAGAGGATGCATGAAAAGGGAAAATATTTTCTTTCTGCGCATCCTCTCCTACGTCGATTAAAGGTACGCAAAGCATATGCAATTGTGTATGTCTATATGCTCGCTTGTTTGCCACCTTATAATATATAATTAAAAAAAAATATACAGTTGAATAAATTTTGTTTTATTATAATAATGCACTAACACATACAGACTATATTTTTGAAACTTTATCATAAAGTTCCATATTTATATGTAAAATAAAAATTGCATAAACATAATTATGCACTCTTATAATAATTCAATTCTATAAAAATTGCACATATATAAAATACTTTACCGTCACATAACATCCAACAAACTTAAGATAAATGAGAGAAAATCTCTGTACTTGTTAAATTAAATCTCATTCTCCTAAACAATAAAAAAACACAATATAAACTAATTTAGTAGTAAATGTTAAAACGTAATTACTTACAAATTTTCACTTATAAAATATTATTGGTTTCTGAGACCAAAAGTATAAAACATATCGTCATCCTTGTCATTATCTTTGAAAGCGCATATATTATAAATGGAGATTTTGTACTCAGAAACCTACCATAAATGATGTATCGTTTCAAAGTTATCGAGGTATATTTATTTTATACAATACTAGCTGTCCGCGCGGGATCAAAAATAGATGTTGGCCGATTCTCAGACCTACTCAACATGCTCACAAAATTTCATGAGAATCGGTCAAGCCGTTTCGGAGGAGTATGGGAACGAAAATTGTGACACGAGAATTTTATATATGAGATTACGCCAACCTTGACACATGGTAGACATACAATCACTAATCTCTATTCAGATAGGTTATAAACCATGTTATTTTGTGCCTATTTGATTGCCATTTCGGCGTTAATAGTTGCGGTAACTAGTGTTGGTGCGAATTCCAACTAAAAATATAGATAGAATGAACTGTTAGGAACTTCAAGACGCGCGTTTAAACGTGGGTTTTAGACTCCAAATATCTAAATAAAAGTAACATCACCCCTGTTGTCTTTGACATCACAAAGATAACAATATGTTTTAAACGGAGATTTTTGACTCGGAAAACCACGGTAAGTCTGAACAATAACCTATCTGTATATAGAGAATAGTACATACAATACAGAAGTAAATTATCATTAAAGTCCTTAAATGTGAGGATTACAACATATGTAAACATTAAAAAAACTTATTTTTCACTTAATTACTCAATAATTATGTAATAATAGGATAAACAAGCATTTCAGTCGCAAACCTACTTACAATATAGTTATCGCAACAAATATCAAATAGTTGAAAAAAAAAACAAGCCGTATAACAAATTAAAAACTAAAGTCCACAAATAAAAATAACAGGACGCGGTTAAAACATAGTATAATGGAAATGCAAAATAAAAAATAGTCATGGTTGTATCTGGCATAAATAGTTCGATTTTTTTATCAAAAGAAAATATTTCCAGAGCCGAATTACCGAAGAAATTATATTTCCTTATTTGGTGGAACCATAACTTCGACTTTTCAACAGTGCTTTAAAAAGTTTCATGTTAAAATTATGATATTAAAACACCGATGTTTAAAAGTAAAATAAAAGTCAATAATCTTTGTCCCATTTAGTTTTTCGCGGCAAAAACACACCGGAATGTACAATTTTTTTTCATGCATCTTTTGGTCACTCGTTCAATTAGTGTTTCGTTCATTCACTCGTACCAACCAAAGACAACTTCACGTCGGTTGTCGGTTCTGTCTAACTTACAGCTAAATAATTCTTAAACCGATAATGAAAAATAGAACTAGTATAGATAATTATATCACAGGACTATATTTGAGAAATCTTTCCAACTAACTTTTCCCAGTTTTAACACAATTTTTGGAAACTGTTATAACGGGACAAATGACTTGACGAATTAAATTGGAAAACAATTTTTCTTAACTAAAACTACAAAATAAAAAACTAACCTATTCGAGTTCTATAATGTCGTCATCGATTTTGTCAATATTGAAGTCATGCAAACTTAACTTATCTGTAACAAAAAAAAATATTAGTCATAAAGGGTTTTTTAAAGTTTTTTTTACTGTATTTTGTATAAATTAACAAAGCAAATACTTACCGAAAGATGATATTTTCGTCTTCTTCGATGGACCGGCAACTTCTGTTGTTAGCTTTTTCTTGAAGTCATATTGACCGAGTGCAGGCATCGTAGGTTCCTTGCGTTTTCGTGATGTTGTTCTAGGCAAAAAAAATAGATTCGGTCCAATAATTTAATCTTACTTCTTACTAATATTATAAATGCGAATGTTTAGATGGATTGATGTTTGTTTGAAGCTATCTCCAGAACGATTGAGAACATAACCTGAAAGTTTTTTTTTAATTCCTCGCGGACGGTGCAGCTGGCGACAGCTGTATACAATATTGAATGTTTCAGACTTTCAAGCCTGAGGATCTGTCTCCTTCCCTTTCTTTAACCAAAATCCCCTAATTGTTAATCGAAGTACTCTTGCAATTTTTCTTGTTCTTGTATAAAGTTAACGTTCAGGAAATTTATCAAAAAAATTATGGACATAACAAAAACAGCGTGTATACTAACGTTTCTAATTTTGTCTTGTCTCCAGCGCGTACGAACATGAAATCTTTGGGTGAGCCGACCACAGAGACTCCACTCTTTGTATTACTTGTGTGAGCTCCAACATTCGGAACAGAAAATATATTAGCCGCGGTCTTTGGAACATCATTTTGGTCAATATCTGTCAGATCCAGAAATTCCGATACAACTTCATTGTTACGTTTCGTATCTGGTACTCTAATTTTCTTGTTCGGGTAGTATATTTCAATCGTTCTCTTTTCGGGGACCACCGATGATTTATTTTTGCTATTCTTCATTTGTAGTGGTATTATGGTTAGTTTTGGTGCAATCGGTGGGTAAGAAATTGGTTTATTTTGTTCTGGTGTCCCAGACGCAGGGGGGACTTTTCTCGACATACTTGTTTTTGGTTTAGGTGTATTTATTTGAAGAGTATTAATTGCTATATTACCTACTTTCGGGTTCTGTGTAACTATAGTGGGTGAGTTGTGTATAGCTGTCGGGCTTGTTGACAATCTAGTTAGGGTGGTCTGATTTGGATTCAATAAAAATATTTCACCATTTTGATTAATCTTTATCATATCACCGGGTTTATAAAAATTATTTGCACCTGAGTTCAACAGATTGGTTATATTAGCTGCAGACTGCAATTGAGAGAAAGGAACAATGGTAGGCGTAGGTTTAAATAACAAAGTTGTGGTACTCTTCGATATTTGTGATTGCGTGTTCACAGTTGTGTTGGAGATAGTGGATGGTGAAGCAATAGTATTTGTGGGTGTCACTGATATGAACACTGGGTTTGGTGGTGGTTGGGGTTGTGAGCTCGCCTGAGTTTCTTTAGAACTGACAATGTCATCCTCATCGTCGCTGTCTAAGCATATTGTTATAGAATTTTCATTTTTATCTGAATTATCTACATTATGTATATTCCTAATAGCTTCTGTCAATTCATTGTCTACATCAATAGATGGTAGAGGATTTTCGACAGGGTAAGGGACTTTTTCTGAATCGATTGTTAGTACGTTTGATTTTGTTGTAGGAACGGGTTGTGTTAGAGATATGTCTCCAGAGCGTACTTCAGATATAACTAGTGAGGTTGATGTGTTATTGCTGGTGGATGCAGCAGGAGGTGTGTCATTGATATAGCACACGTCATCGTCGTCATCTGGCAGAATGCTTTCCTCAGCCAGAGGTATTGTTGGTCTTGTCATTGTTATTGTTGCATTCGATGAACTTTTGATCCTGTCAAATATTTATGGTTTTAAATAAACAATTGACTAAGAGCTAGTAGTAACGATAGGTAAGTTTGGATTTCCAAAAGAAAAATAATATTTTAAAACCGTTTAAGCCATATCAATCTTACGCAATATTTTACACAACAGCGAATTTTTAAATCGATGGATGTTTGTTAAAGGTATCTCTAGAATGGACGTCAATAAAATATGTCATAAATATAGAACATAGTCTGGAAGAACATATAGGCTACTTATTAAGTTTTTTTTAATACGAGTCGCGGGTAACAGCTAGTGTCATATATATAAAATACTCACAGCTGAATAGGAACTACCATGTCTCGTTCACTACGAAGCTTAGATACTGAAGATGTTTCAAACTTTTTGCTGGTGACTGGCGGAGGCGCAGGCGCAGACGTCGACGCCGGGTTTAAAATTTCGTTGGCTTTACTTGCATTAGTCTTGAGAGATTCCCGCTGAGTTTCTTGTGTTTTGGTACTAATCGATTTTTTATTTTTCGGGTTTTCACATATAACTTCATCCGATAATATTACTAAATCATCGGAATCCGTTGAGCTTATTCTTTCGTGTCTTTTCGAGCTAACACTTTCCTTGGTTAAATCCGATTTATTTTTATAAACTCTTTTACTTTTAATGACGTCATCGTTCGCTTGATTGTCTTCAGATTGACTAATTACTGGTTCATTTTTGGATGAATCTTTGTTATCTTTCGTTGAATGTGACTCGGGGTTATTCTTTTTAGGAAAGTTCTGTAGTCGCTTTAATGTATCTAAGCCTATTGACTAAAAGAAAAACATTAATAAATCACGAGTTTTGAACATTTTGGAATATTGTTAGACATCATTATTAGCTTAGAAGATAAGACCTTAGGATTACTGTTTGGTCACTTAACATCAGATAATTTACTTAATTTGTTTGTTTAAAAAAAAAGAAAACTTGGAAAATAAAACTTACTTTTACAGCTATATCGTAGAGCGGACCACCATACAAATTGTTTCCAGTTTCATTTATTTCTTTCAAAGCTTTTTGTGCACTATAACGTGCCGCGTGAAGTGCAGCGTCTATGTCCAATACGGGGTTACCCTCCATATATTTATAGGCAATCATTTTAATAAAATGTTCGTTTATTAATAAAGACGCGTGTAAAGGTATCCTTTCATCTTCATTATCTTGAACTTTATCACAGTCTTTTGTATTAGTCGCTTCTGGTTTATCAACTTCAATGACTGTTTCATCATCACTTAAAATAATACTCTTCAAGGTTGATTCGCCATCATCAGGTATTTCTACCATAACCGTTTTAGATTTATCAATTTTATCTGCACTAGTATCATCTTCAACGGACATTTCATCACCCGATCGTAAATCTATCGCCTGATCAAATTCGTCATTAGATTCATTTTGGTTTCCTTTACTTTGTCTCGTATCTAAATTGGTATTATTTTGTTCTTGCGACCAATTTTCATCATCTTTAGTATCTTTGGTATCTTTTAAATTTAATGAATCTATATATTCTTTTGCTTTGACAGCTGCTTTTCTTTTTTTAATTTCTCCAATGCTATCGTCTTCGTCAACATCGTGTATTATGTTGTTTGCTTTATGCGTACCAATTTGATGTTTTCTTTTACTATTCTTGTAAGTTTTGGGATTATCTTCACTCGTGGCATGTTCGTCTTCAACAACAGATGCGGTCGGCATTTGAATACTTGTAGTAGCAAAGTCTTTACCTTTCATCTGGAGAAACACTTGTGCTAGACTTTCCACTAAAGGTGCAGCACGAAATTTTTCACCTTTTAATCGAGCTTCGACTACTTTTTGCACATGGTTTACTAAATTTTCAATGTTATTTGTATCACTAAAATCATTTTGTGCATTTTGTTCTACTAAAATATTTTTAATTTGTTGCACCTCCGTTAAATTGAACTGATCAACAGATGAGCTTTCTTCATTTATAACAAGATTTTCTCCTGCATTTTCTTCTGTAACCGTATTTTCTAAAAGCTTTTGTTTAGGCTTCCTCCCTCTTTTACTTTTAGGTTTCGTATTTGTACTGGTTGTAGCATCAAGTGCCACACTTGGTGGCACAGCGTAATCGGGTCCATGAATATTTTTTGTTGGTATTATCGATGAATTATTTTCAAGATTTGCCATTTCTGAAATTAATACAATAACATATCAATATCACTTTGACAAACTGACTTTATAACTTTGGCTTGTTTACGTTCTGAATTAACCCTTAATTCGACGAAATTTTTTGTAGCAAAAAAACTGTTTTTTTTTGTAGTTATACTTACGTAATTTTCTCTAAACTAGTTCAGTAGATTTTTTTAAATTAATTATTCGTCACACTGGACACCATCGAATTAAAGGGTTAAGCGCGCCCGTAGAAGTTCCAATCCTCATCACCGCCACCGCGATCGTCATTTGCGAAGTTCAAATAGGCACAAAATACCATGGTTTATAACCTGTCCACGTATAGAGGTGAGTGGTCATGGTAGTGTTGTAATGGTAGGTACTAACGCGAGTGCCCCTGTTCCATCTCGAACTGCCTCCAGGCGGCGGCTCGCTCGTGTTCCGGCAGCTGCTGGTCGTGCGAGTCACGCAGCAGAGAGTCGTGCTCGTACACCGCGTGCAGCGGAGCATCGCGCGCCACACGCAGCAGCGCTACGTCCGTCACACCAGCCGCCACACCGCTCTCAACACCTGAACCCGTCTCGTCGAAACTAAAAACATCATTATTGAACAAAAAAAAAAATATTACCCATCAATAACGGCCCTTCCTTATCCTATTCTATGAGTGGTTACCATATCGTTGGATAACCAATGAATAAAATTCTTGAGATTGTAACTATAACACCCAGTCATCAACGGCAAACCAGGCAATTTAAAGGAAAAAAAAAGAGATCAAGATTTAATTTATAACATGAGAAATCTATACTTAGTGTCACCCTTAGTGACCATTTAACGAGTTGAGTGCGTTATTAGATGTATTGAATAATCAAGTTACTGACTTGTACAGCTCAGTGAGTTCGTCCATGTTGTAGTGACGGTCTATCTGCTGCGAGTCGACAACTCGGCATGCCACCGCCTGCTTCGTCACTGACCGCTCGTAGATCTTCTGCTCCATTGTACCCTAACAATAATACATATATTTTATACTACGAGGTAACAAACGAGCAAGCTGACACACTAATATTGTTCAAATAAGAAATTAGCCGCTGCCTACACAAATAAAGTTGCAAATTCATTGCCTAACTTTAACGAATAGAATAGAGGATGAACAGAATATGAATATTTCGCTTTCCTAAGCATCCGTCTACCTCACCACATCGGGCTCCTCTTCCTATCTTCTCTATTAGAGAATGGTAGGAGGAGTAAGGGGAGGGACTAGTATTAGACGAATAACGTGTATTGTTGTTTACCATGGCAACGAGTCTGTATATATAACAGTCCTTCTTCTGTCCGAAGCGGTAGACTCGGAAGATGCTCTGTATATCATGGGCGGGGTTCCATGAGGTGTCAAGGATGATGACACGGTTGGCCGCCGTCATGTTCAGCCCGAGGCAGCCGGCGCGCGTTGATATTAGGAACAAACTGAAATATACGAATCATACATACATACATGCGAAATTTAAAAAAAAACATAATTGCCTATGTGTTCTTTCAGACTATATCTATGTGTACGCCAAATTTCATCAAGATCCATTCAGATTGGAGATACCTTCAAACAGACATCTATCCAAACATTCGCATTTATAACATTAGTAAGAAGTAAGATTATTAAGTGGTACAAAATTAGTGTTACCAGGCCCACATAGCATAGATATTGTTAATTGTGTATTCCTCACTTGGTGGTATTGTTATTGGGTGAGTTGAACTCGCGGCACCAGTTCTGCCGCACCTCGGCAGGCACGGAACCGTCCAACCTGTAGTACTCGTGCCCTAGGCTCCACTTCTTTATCTTCTTCAAGAAGTACTCCAGCGCGTCCATCGTGAACAGTGACGTTGAGAATATTAACCTGAAAATACACAATTTATTAATAAGAAAAAAATATCAGACTGTACTTCTAAGACTGTACTGTACTGTTAAATATTGGTAATAAATTGTGGTCATCTAGAAATACGTTACGAAGAAGAGAGATTGTGTGAGAGAGAAGAGAGGGAGAGGGGGAGAGAGGGAGGGGGAGAGAGAGAGAAAGACTGACTCACACTTTATCACCAAGCGCAATGCACTCGTCGAGTATGCGGAACACAGCGTATAGTTTATTGGAGCTCTCCAAAGCCTCCAACATGTTGCCGCCCTCCAGGTACTCCAGCCACCAGACCTCCGTCTGCGAGGGCTTGACATCCTCGCTCGCAGACAGGTCCTCACACGCCAGGTCGTCTTCTAATTTTTCCACTAAAATTCAAGACAAAAATATCGAACATTTATTTCTTTTGAAATGTATTTTTATTAACCTAAATAAAATTTTATAGTAAAAAGAAAGAAAAAAAAACAACAAGAAGTAATAGTAGTAGTACCTTTAACTTTGTTAGCGTCACGAGATTTCAACTGAAAATTGTGTAGAACTTGTGGATGGGTCCATATCTTCTGCAGGATATGATAATCTCTTAGCACATTATGTTTGGCTTGTTTCGCGTAATGCTTCAAATAATGTTTGTATAACTCCGTTTGACACTTCGTTAATGGAATAAAAGCTGTATATTCATGTTTCTTTGGCAAATATGGATAGAGTACTGCAGCCTCTTGCCGTTGTAGGCAACCTTCTAGAACTTTATGCAAGATGTGTGTTCGTGCTTTCATTAGTTTTATATCTTCTTCTCTAGAATCTCGGTGTTGCCCGTTCATAATCGGATTTTCGAATCTGGCAACAAATAAACATAGAAATAATTTTATTCCACAATTTTTTAAATGGGAATACATAATTTAAAATTGATATAGAACATTTAACTGCGCGTAGAGTCAATATTGAACAACTAAAGTATTGTATATAATTTTTCTATACAGCTTAATACATCTCAAAATAAATAAATAAAATAACTAACCTGTTCGCATACTCAGAATACAATCCTAATAAATTAGGCTTCACAAAATTCACCATACAATAGTATTCCCTGAGATTATTTTGCATCGGAGTACCAGTTAGTACTATTCTACGTTTGGTAGTAATCCTACTGATGGCCACCGCGAGGACTGAACTGTCGTTCTTCAGAAGATGTCCTTCATCACATATTATCATATCAGGGCCGGGGTTTAATAATGCTGTACGTATTTTTTTTATAATTGTTGGTCGAATATCGTCCAATCTTTCATCCAATGTAGAGAGATTCCTGAACATTTCGTAACCCATTATAAAGATACCACCGCCAGTGTACCAATCTTCCAACTGGTATGCTCTCTCGTACGTTTTTTTCAACTTCGATAGTTCAAACACCTAGAAGAATAATTAATTTTTAGTGATATTGTTTTGACCATTTATGTAGATAAATAAGACAATTTTTAAAAGCATTAAATGACTGCTACAAATACGTGTTTTGATCCAAGGAAAAAATAAAGATTCCGCTGGGGAATAAGCTACAGCGAAAAGGGATAAAGTTTTGTACATTTTCATCTTCTTTTTAAAAGAAATTGGATTTAGTTTCAGTACATATAAAATGTATAATTACCCGCATACTCCTTTTTGCTTTTGCAGACTTGAAAAATGAAATTTTACAATTATGGATTATAAAATCATTAGTTTTGGAAGCGTATCATCATTTACAACTTATCACAGGTCACATGGTAATACAGTAAAAGAAATTGAAGACAAGTTTTTAATCAAAAATTATTTGTATGAAGTAGATTTTTTTTCTCTCTACTTTTAATATTGTTAACATTGTACCTTTATGGTGTCGTTGACGGGTCCCATCCACTTGTTTATTTCATCGACCCAGTTGAGTACGGTGGAGAGTGGACAGACAACCAGCACTCGCTGCATACCCACGCGGGGATGAGTTAGCACCTGGACACATTAAAACAAAGTCAATATTGTTCACAAACATATTGTTATCTGTTTTTTAATAAAGAGAGCGATAGGGACGGCAATATGTTACAGCAGTGAAAACCCACACTAACACTTTTAAGAAACCGACTCTGTTTAGTATAATACGATTCAAAGTTTACGGTCGCTCGTGGTTAATAGCAAGCGCATGTCCAACTAAAGTAAGTCATTAAGATTCGCAGATACCTCGAATATTTTGCGTAACGTCACTAAAATTGCGGCCATAAAGTTTGTATGACATTATACATGTGGTACATACCGTGTGCAGAAGAGCCAGCACCTGCAGCGTCTTGCCGAGGCCCATGCAGTGTGCGAGGATGCAGCCGCCGCCCGGATGCCCCTCGCCCACCAGCTCCAGGCTCTCGAAGCATGCGTCCCACATGAACTTTACACCCTCGTACTACAACAAACGATACGTGAGGCTAAATTATTGTGTTTCAATATCAATTATTTGTCTAATTTACAATTTTTTTTTTATTTGGATGTGACCGAAAGATGGTACGCGCTGACTTATAAAAATGCTTATTCACCCTACTCTAGAACACAGCCAAATAATTTAGATTAACCTATCTCATGGGTTTTATATCGCCTTGCTAGAGATTCAGTTTGTTAAAAGCCAAGGGTATGTGGAAGCCATAACCAAATGCATAGGTACCTAGCTAAGGTTCAATAGTAGATTGGATAAAAAAGGAAATTAAAAAAAAAATAAAAATGGAAATTCCTATAATTAACGGTCAGTACACTTCCTAAGTTACAGCAAAGATGGAAACTGTTACCTGATGCACCTTCATGACTTGTGTGAAGAAAGGGTGGACAGTGACCACTGGACGATTTTCTTCAAAATCATATTCAAGGCACACTTCGTCGTTTATTACAACAACATTCACACCTTCCTCGCAGCCCAATATCTCTCTCTGGAATACGAAAATGAAACATGATGATGTACGACGTTCAAAAGGAGGCAAAGGTTTATAATTTTTACGTTTTTTTAAATAAAACTAGCAGATTTTTTTGCAAATTTACTAATATCAGATACTAATAGCAGATTTTTTTGCAAAATTTACCAACTAAGCTCTAGGCTTGTGCTAGGATATGGTTTATGACAATAGTCGAATGGCGGGACTCGAACCTCTGACCTCATGATCGGAAATCCGTACCCTTAACCATTAGGCTATTGACGCTTAGACGTTTTCTTAGGACGTATAGTGTTTCTCTTTTCTATTTGTTATTATTAAATGTAAAAATAGAATAATTATAACCAACTGTATATATAACATTAATATAATAAAATATATCATTATTTTATATTACTTAAATTATTTTAAAAAAATATAGGAACTGTACCAGTTTGTTCTGACGATGAAGCAAACGACGTTTACGTTCAATTTCTTCGATGTTCGCCAACAAAGTGCTTTTTGCTAAAGACTTCTTGTCTATAACCTGTAATTTAAATAAAATTTCATTAAAAAATCATAAATTAACTATTTATGAGAAAATGTGCTGTGCTTTTTATCTAATTTTTAATTAATTAAATTGTCTAATAATAGTAAATTGTCTCACCCTTCTGATGTTACGCCGTCCCTTTCCGAAACTCTGCGAACTCTTTTTCCCTGATTGAAATGTCTCGTTTGAAGTTTCACCAAAAAGCTCTCTGGATAGAACACTGTAATCAGAAACATATAACATTTAGTCAAGATATCGAGTTGCTTTCAATATTCAAATTCGTGTAAAGTTAAAATATTCATTGATAATAAACAAGCAGTAACAATGTTGGGTAATGTTATATTTTTTCTAAAATGACTCAAGAATTATGCTATCTTACTTCTTACTATTATAAATGCGAATGTTTAGATGGATGGATGGATGTTTGTTTAAAGGTATCTCCAGAACGGTTAAACGAATGAAATTTGGTATACATATAGAACATATTCCGGGAAAACATATAGGCTACTAATTATGTTTTTTTTTTTAATTCCACGCACACGAAGTCGATGGCGACAACTAGTTCACGACAAAGTAGCTTTATGGTCATGTATTTAATTTGAGATATTTTATGCATTCAATTAAAATAAACACATTTCGTCGTTTAACTGAACCTGAGTTGCTTTTGTCGTTCCAAAAAGTTTTTTCTCCTCGAGCGGCCACTTCGTGAATAACGTTTTCGTGATTCTATCGTCTTACATCTGGCTATAAACTCGCTAACAATTTTAGCGCGCTTCGCTGCGTCCGTACTGAGAAATAAAACAGTGAAAAAAAGTGCTTAATTTTACAAATTTTCTGAAATCAAAAATAATAATAATATTTACATGAATACTGCATTTTTAAATTTAACTTTTCTTACATTTTTCACAGATTAAGAGCAAATTCTTCTATCGAATAATAAAGAATAGTTACCTTGTATCACCTTGTTTCCTTAACAGTCTTTTTAAAAGCTTCTCTTTTGTGGTCACCCATTGCTTTTCTTCTTCCGACGAAGAATAGTCATCCGCGTTTATGTCATCTTTGTGTGCAGTACCATCTGATTTTCTTTTCTATAAAATAATTACTATTTAACTTTTAATAAAACATAGTAGACAATATATCAACCTGGCCTTTTTCCTACGTAGAGTCGGCTCAATATACTCTTCCATATACCTCTATCAGAAATTTTACCTGAATTAACTCCCTTACGCCTATGCTCTTTCATACAATCCATTCACACTTCCTTTAGTCTTCCTTTTCTTTTATGACCATCATTCAATCAAAGCTAACCTAGCTAGTTTTTAAAGTTTTCAATTACTGGCGCTACTTTTTAGATCCGAAAGTCTAGATGGATGGATGGATGGATGTTTATTTGGACGTATCTCCAGAATGACTGAACAGGTCTCAATGAAATTTAGCATACATATAGAGCATAGTCTGTAAGAATAAATTGACTACCAGCTAAGTGTTTTTTTAATTCCGGGCAGACTGGGTCGCGGGTCACCGCTAGTCATTTATAGCTATCATTATAACTTACACTTCTTGTAGGATGTTTAGAAAGATTGGTGGCAAGTTCATTGTCCTCCACAGGTGCATGTAATAGTAAAAGATCCTTCTTCATAACTTTATCAGCTGTCAACAGAGCGGTATCGTTGTCATTATTTGCTTTAGAATCGTCATTCTCTACTTTAGCTTCTTTCGTTTCCTTCTTTGAAAGTTTACGAGATCGCAAATTTTTTGTATACTTCAATTCTTCATCTGATGTTTCTTCTTTCAATCTATTTTCTTCTTCTTCTTTCTTTATAAGTTTTTCGAGTTCTATCTCATCACAGTCTGGTTTACGACAACTATTTGTACTTTCACAAATTGGGAGCTTTAAAAAATGTGTTCAAGGAAAAAAAATGTAAATACAAAATCATTGACTACATAAATAATTTTGACAATAATTTATTACTTACCACTGGTAATGATTCTTGATTTGAATCTTCTCCAAAAGTTGTCACTGGATTACTGTCATTACTTTCGTCGTCCTTTATATCAATAATTTCAGGTACATTGGACTTGTCTGTAGTTTCTGAATTCTCGCTTTTATTTTTATCTAATGATGGTATACTTTCGCACCTAAAAGAAATAACCATTAATTACATGTTTTTACAAAATAAAAGCTAATTGATGCAAAATAATAGATTACCTTTCTAATGTATTTTTATATTTATCTTTGATTTTAATATCTTGAGATTTAAAATAACTTTCTGCGACATTTTCCGGTAATTTTACTAAAGCCACAATAGCTTGTTGACATAATTTAACATCATTGGTAACATTGTATTTCCTATCAGAAGTATTTTGATTTAGGTTAGAAGCCTTTAGGTCACGTGTCTCAGGCCTTACATTGGATTCTAATGATTCGATGTTTTTTACACTTTTCTTACTTTTTCTATTCTTTACTATATCATCTAAAAATGGCAAGCTTGGTTCGCATTGCAGTAATTCTACAGGTTCATCAGTATTAAATACAGGTGAAAAGGGTCTATCAAAGTCATCTTTTTCGTCATGACTTTCTTTGTTACATATGGTATCCGTTAAATCCTTCGTCGCATTTGACGCCTCTTGCCTTTTGAGTTTTGAGTAAAGATTATTAATATATTCATTATATTCCAGTAAACCAGTATGATCTGCTTCTTTAATATTCTCCTCTTCATTGGGTTCGTTATTTTCATTCGTGTCCTGAGTAGAATCAACATCGTTACACTGTATTTCACCAGTAGTTGATTTTTGCTTACTTTTTGTTTGGAGTTCTTGTTCACTACTCCTTCTTGATTTATTCTTTCTTCTTGAACTCAATACAATGTTGAATGAGTCATCAGAACTTTCAGCTTCTTCCACTTCTTGGACTTTTCTATCATCCAACTTTTCTTTTAAAACATTATTTTCATTATCCGATGGTAGTTCCTCCATTTCATCAACACTTTTTGGAGTTAAAGTTTTTGATTTGTTCTTCTTCTTTTCAATCCGTTTGTCATTTTTCTTCTTCTTTTTCTCAATCTTCCCTTCTTCCTCCAGGGTACGATTTGCATTTGGCATAATATTTCTAATAATTTCGTCATCCAATGGCTCATAACTGTTTGGTACCAATAAGCTCATAGTATTATCGTTGTCATCGTCAGAATCAGGTTCGAATTGCCTACGAATTCTTAACGAGCTTTGACTAAAGACTTTTTGTTCGTCATTGGTTTTTTCGCCAACCACTTCTTCGGTTCCTTTTCGATTTAGTGTCGATTCGAAGGAATCAAAGTTATTACCAAAATTAGATAATACTTCACTAGTGATATTGGGCGAATCGAAGCAATTTTCCAGTTTTGCGGCTTGTATACATTGAATTCTTGGCATCAGAATAGGTTCAAGGTCTGGTTCTGTTTTAACTTGAACAACATCCTGCATATAATTCTCTATCGGTTCTATTTTTATTTGAGCTAGTGATGATATGTTACTAATTACAGCAGTAAGTGAGTCTTCCCTGTGGTCAATACAATTAAAATCATCAGTTTCAGTTGGAGGGAATATTTCTTCCACTAGTTGTTTGGATTCAACATTACAATCTTCTATGTGGGTTTCCTCTTCACTGTAATCCAACAAGTTATCATCATAAGTTCCTCCTTCATCATCATTGTTTACATTACATTCTTCAGGATTTGATGTTACATCTTGAAAACTAAAAAATACCTCTTCAGGTACTGTGTTCACAGAATTTATTTGTATACTGCTACATGCAGAATTTTGAATCAATTCATTTTCACTCTGATATATTAATTTTACTTTTTCGGAACAAAGTTGAAACAATGATTTAACACACACAGGATTGGATGCGTATTGTACTGATTCTATCAAACAATTTCCAACTTCACATATATTTTCAAATTGTTCCAAACCATTATCATTATTTGTTAAAATACATGATGGATTTTCTATTTTAGAATTAAGATTGCCACTGTCCATATTTTCACTGTTTGTCTTAATACTTAGTAGGTAAGACAAGGCGATTTGTTTTAAGGACTTAGGTGTAAAATGTTCAATTTTATCATTTTTGTAGTTTAGTTGATTACTTTGTTTCATACTCAAGTTATGACAGTTGTCTATGTTATCAATGGTCTTGCCTTGTTTTGTTGATGCGGTGATAGTTTCTCCCTTGAGTTCATTTATTTTCTTTACACTACTAATATCAGTGCCTTGGTTTCTACGTATTACATTTAAACAAAGTGACAATAATGTATCAACTTGATGTTTTGATACTGTCTTGTTACCTTTGTTGTTGTTGTCTTTATTGGGCCTTTTATATGTTACATTATTGTTCCGACAACACCTTATAACTTCTAAAGACAGGGTAAGTAAGGTGTTTACTTTATAACATGAGTTTATTTCAAGTTTCTCGTCTTTTTTTGCAAATGTAAAGTTTTGTATAATTGTGTGATAACACAAGGTTTGCAGAGGAGTGACTGTTCTCATAGTCGAAGCACTGTTAGCAGCATTAATATTTTTATCAAATTCTAATTTTGTATTAGGACTAAGAAAAAGTAAAGATGTATTCTTTTTGTTATGTATAAGATTGCTACACTCCTTTTCTTTGATCCGTGTGTTGTTAATTTCTTGTATAATATTAAAAGAGAAAAAATGTTTAACCATCTGATGGTAGCACAACATTTTAAGACTGGAAACTTTATCATATGGCAAACTTATACTAGTTTTCTGTACTGTGTCTATATTTTGATGGGTATTGTTAAAAATATGTTTAATTTTATGAAGACACAAACTAATCAATTTTTCAGCATTGTTGATCGTCTTCAAATCTGTAATAGCATCACTTTTATGACTGATCTCTTTTTCGCTCTGAACATTATTTTTTACTTGTATCATTTTTTTTTGTAAAGCCTGAATGCTTAGCGTAAGTAGGCTTTTTGGATTTTTGTATTTAGTGGCAGTATCACAATTTGTATTAGAATTATCATTGACATTTACATTTACTGAACCTTGAAAATAACTAAGGTTATTGTTCATGTTTATTGGTTCAACACTAAAGTAATAGCAGCAAACTCTATTTTGCCAGATCTTCAAATTCCTCCAATCCTGCCACTCAGGTATTAGCAAATGTGCACAATTAGATAGTGCGGTGGCATGATAATATTTCTTAAAAAAATCACTTACCATTTCATTTGTAACATATGTATCAGGTGGTTTTTTATTTCGGCTGTCCTGGGCTAAAAAAGACTGAGTGGGTTTAACTTTTTTAACTAACACCGAATCACTTATCCACATTGAATTTTTCCCTTTTATGTTGATTTTATTTTGTATCTTTTGCTCCTCGTTTGGCTTTTTGGCAATTTTTATTGATAATTCTTTATTTAGAAACACAGTCTTAAGATTAAACTTCGACTGATTTTTTCCTTTGACATTTTGTTTATTATGTCCTGAAGTTTCTTCGACAATTTCACAGTCACTATCGTCGTCTTTTAATGCTATGGTTGGTGATAATAATTTTGGAACTGATGTATATCGTGATAATTTATGTTGTTTCAAAAAATCATCGTATTTACTAGCCAAAGATTCTTCAATATCCATAATACTATCTTTGGCAAGTTTAAATAGCAATAATGATTTTTTTACATAATGATCCATTTTGATTGTATCGGTAAGATTACTGGTGTTAATTTTTTTCTGAATAAAATCATCTGATTTTTGAGTCATTAGTTTACCTAATTTGGAAGTAGCTTTTATCATATCTGTTAAAAGTTCACATGCATTTTCTGCTTGTATCGCAGTGAGTGGTATATTTTTATCCATTTGAATGTCAAAATGTGATGTGGTTTGTACTGCAGTAGTAGAAAGTTTTGTAGTGTTTGTTTGTGAATAAACATCAGCAGTTTTAGTATAAGAATTAATAACAGGGATTTCCAAATGTGTGATTGCACTTTGTTCCTTATTAGTCACCCTTTTTATTTTTAAATTAGTACCTTGTATCCTCTTAGCTAGAAAATTTTCAAATTCATTTGTGTTACCCCATGTATTAGTGTTGTTTTTACTCTTTTTTTCATGAGAATTTCCAAAAGAGAGTTCATTATCCTCCTCATCTTGGCAATTGGATAAATCAATTGACTCTGTTGGGTTAAGTCTTTCTGAATCCAGATTCTTTTGTTTTTTCTTCAAAACCCTACTTTTTCGCTTTTTTCTTGGTTTATTCAATTCTACTTCATCTTTTTCAATATCACTATCTGTTGATAATTTTTTTTCACACTTTTCATCTGGTACATATTCATCATCTGAGTTATATTTCTTACTTTTTTTTGACTTTCTGGGTTCACTGTCGTCATCAGATAGTTCTACACTAGCAAAAGGATCTTCATCGGAGCTATCATCATAATGTAAATTAACTTTTCCTCTTTTACGCTGTGGTCTACCACTAGAGCTTTCAACTGAAGTGGCATTATCTATCAATGTTGGTTCATCTGTTTTCATTTCCTTAGTATTTTCACCACCAATACTGCTAATGTCATATACAAAATCTGACATAACTGGCATTTTGGATGACCTTTTTTTTGTAATTTTGTTTGTTGTCTCTATTTTCACTTCAATTAAGTTTTGTAAATCAGTGTCTTCTGATTGCACCAAAGCATTATCATTATCAAGGTCTGCCAGTGTTTTCTTCAGTTTACTCAAAGAAATTTCATCACCATCATCATCACTTCCAGTATCATCTTTTGCTGGTACACAACCTGCAGTAATATTGCCTTTTTTTACTTCAAGAGTGTCTACATTATCTATTTTATTTAAACTGTCATCACTACTTCTAATGCTACTATTTCCTTCATCCTTATTAGTATTAATAACATATACAGTTTCACTGTAGACATTTTCCAACTCTTTATTAGTTTCGTTTTGATTTGGTTTTTGTTGTTGTTCATTCATATGGTCAATATTAGTTTCATTGTGTATTTGGGATGTTGTACTATCAACAACTTGATTCTCTGTCATTGCATAGTTCTGAGAGATAAGAATTTCTGCAGTAGTATCACCTGTATTAGTTTGCAAAGTGTTGTTTTCTTGCTTTTTAACCGGTGATGTTTGTAGTCTTTGTTTTCCGGCCTTACGTTTTGGTGGTCGTCCTCTTGGCCGTCTGGGTTTGTTGTCTTCAAGAAATACTTTATTCTCTTGTAAATCATCTTCTTCATTAACAGTTTCAGAAGATTCTTGTGTAGTGCTCACCTGTTGATCTTTCATTGTACTGTCGATAGTTATATTCTCTGACATATTATGGGATTTACGTTTTAAACATCTTTTTGATGGTTCCAAAGACGGTGCCGTGTCTTGAGATATTGATGTACTGTTTATACTTTGGACTTCATCTTCTATTGTAGATGATATCTCTACGTTGCTTGCGCAAGCCGGTATCGGGATAGACACATTATGAGTATTCAAATCCATTTCTTTATGAGTAGATGAGGCTTGAAAACTTTCAAATGCCTCCTCTGGAACGCTAAAGCTATTTAATTTACTCATGTCCGACATTACAAAAGAATGACTTGTATGTCAAAAGAATGAATATTTTCATTTTATATTACGATGCTAATTGCTTACTCCAAAAGAATTGCCTTTTATCACAAAACCGCTACACCATAATCGACAAACACAATTCAACAATTCAATTTCAATCCAATGTTGACTTTTTATTCTCTTCTAACCACTAAAAATAACAAAAAACTAATACTACTAACAAAGAATAGAAGTGATATAGATTGTAAGGTTTTATCTCCATTTTATGTTAAAAAAAACATCAAAATTTTGTTCGAAAATTTATAGATATTGATATTTAGAATGATCTTCAACTTTTGTTTGTGTTTCCATATTTTTTAGCCTCATTTTTTAATTTAATTGTTTTTCAATCTTCACACGAAATGCCGGTTTTGTTACATACTCTATGATGACAAATGACAACCACTAATCCTAGTAATTTTTGCAAAAGTTTACAACATTGCAATATTGTTGACATATTCAGTAATCTAAGGAAAATTTACCTTTATATTTAAAAAAAAACTCACAGAAAGACCCTTTATTTTTAAAACAATAATAATCAAATGTTAGGCCGTAATGTATTTTCCAATAGGATGGCCAAAAGTGTGCAAGAATTTGGAAGCAGATGGAGAGGCAATCAAACAAATAGTGTCAAATAGAGACAAAATACTTTTTGTGTCTTTAACTGATGATTCAATTATTATTTGGTTTTGCAAGGTAAGGTATTTATATAAATCAATACACACTGATACTAGATGTATGATATCATGTTTAGAGTAAAGTGGCAAAATATATTTTGTATTCCCATTTAGTTAAGTTTATATGTGTAAATATATTAATACCAGGTTAATGCTAGGTAGATCACATATACAGATGTAGTAGTGACAGCTTTTCCTAATTCAAATTCAGTTATTAACAGGTATCTAATTAATGAATGCCATAGTAGTGTATGTTGCAATTTATGTTAATGCAGGCTGGAGACATTTTTCCATCACTATGCATATATTATAATTCTATTATTCTAGGATATACATGATTGAATTTAACAAAGTAGTAAGCTTATAATTTTTTTTTTTACAGCCTACTGTACCAATAGTTTATCATAAGCGTAATGCTGATTCCATTCAGCGACTGGGTATCAATGTTGGTGTTGAATGGAAACCTGATTCTTCCATGATTTGTATATCGGTAAGAATTACTTTATTATTAGTGGATAAATATTAGTTTTTTTAAAAAACAATCAGGTAAAGTAAAGACAAAACTATTAAACTCCATTTCTTCATGAATTGCTCATATCAATTGGTAAAAAAATTTCAGACACAAGAAGGTCATTTAATCATCTACAATGTGGAACCGCAGAGTGAACAGACAGCGTACAATCAATTTGACCCACCTACAGCTAGCCTACGCAGGGATTCAGCTGAGCTGTTTGTTAAAGAGATGATACCATCACTTAAAATAACATTGGTAAGTTTTATCCATACATAAATACAAATACAAGTCAAACCTGGATAAAATGAATGTGGATAAGCAAGAAACCTTTATAAGCATCACTTGCTGTCCAGTCTTAATGGAAAACTTTTCAAAAATAATATGAAATCTAGTTTATTTGTTTTTAATTCTTTTATCCTTCTAACTGTGGGTTTCATTAACATAAATCTTTTATAAACATATGGTCATCCCTTTCATTATCTTTGACAAAACAGAGATAACAACATGTTTTAAATGAGGATTTTGGTCTCAGAAACACTTAATTAATTACATTATGTTTTTCAATACTTGTCCTAATAAGATAACATCTACTGTAACTTCCGTTAAAAGCATGATAGTTTAGCCTAAAATAATTTGAAACATCATTTAAATATTAACTCAACTGACACATATTTCATTTATAATGTTACTTCTGACTCCATACTAATATTATAAATGTGAATGTTTGTCTGCTTTTATATATATAATAGGTAGAATAAGTTGAATTTAAGCAGCAGTACATAATGTAAAGTAATTAAAAATACATGAATATGATAAATATCTGTAAAATTATTGGTATATGGAATTATTACAGTCTTTGATACATCTAATTTTATAATAGTGTAAATTAATTTCAGTATAAAGAAGTCCTAGTATGGGATGGACAAATAACTCGTATGTGTTGTATATCCGGTACAGAGATTTTAGTGTGTACCACTCGCGCTCATCTGCTCAGGTACAGATGGGATGGCACACAGAATAGAGACTACTGCTTAGATCTAGGACGGATACCATTCTCTATAAATCAACAAGTTTCCAAAGGTAATATATTTTTTTTACTTTTTCCAATTCATAAGTTGTAATTTTTAAACATCTGATCGGTAGAATGCCTCTGACTTATGTTTATCTGTGTATTTATAAAAATTTACCAGAAAAATTTACCAGAACAGATGTACCCTAAGTACAGTCAGGGAAACTGGTGGTGTTCAACCTTGGAAGTGGTTATTAACCAATGGAAAACAGCTTTTTAATGGGTTTGTAGAAAAAAGAGATGGTCAGTAGTATACGACTAATTGCTTTTTACTATTATCCCGTCATTTGGGCAACTCATTGCTACCTATTGATTAATTAAAAAAAGGAGCTTGTCTCGATGCAAGAAACAAGGTAATCTTTCTGTTGGTGGAACACTGCGGTCTTCCGCGACTGTACTCTGTTGTTCTGTTCAATTTGTTAAAAAAATGATGTTCATGTAAATTGGTTGTTTGCTTTGACATAAGCACTTCCAACTAATTAGTTATTTACTTTCAGCTGAACCTATCCTTGAAGATAACACACATGTAAATGACATTGAATATTCCCCATTAGTCTGTGGCTTTGGCATCACTCTGAACGATGGCCGGGCGGCATACCTTACAGCACCTAACCTCAAATTTGATCCAAATGTAAGCTTTTAACCAATACCTTTGCTGTAGTTTTTACCGCATTTAATGATTGTTTAAATAATTTACACAAGTATATATAAATATAAGGTTTATAATAAATTGAAGCTAAAAAAAAATTTTTGATAAAAATTTCACTTCTATATTACTAAATTCAAGACAAAGGAAATGTGTTATGAAGGGTTAGAAGTAAATTAAAAAAAAAATCAATGTATTTGTAGAATTATGTATATATTTTATCTGTCTGATTGATGTATTTATTAAAATATATTTTATTCAACCAGATTTTATTGGATATGGAACTATGGGTAAGAAGTTGCTTACACTCGAGTGGTAACATTTTAAATTCATAGTTGCTAGTTCCTAATGTCCCCTAAAATCTAAAGTTTATTGAATGTATTATATGCTAATAAATGTATATATGTTTATTTAAATAATAGTTTTTTTTTGTTAAAGATTATAAATTTTTTTCAGGCAGTACAAGGAATTTGGGCTCCGGGTATAGATGATGCAACATGTGCAAGAGTTAATCATAAGTTCAGACTTATTGCTATTGGCAGAAGAAAGTAAGTATTTTTAGAAATTATTGGTTAAAATCCATTAGAGCGAATGGCGCGTTACTTACTAAATGAATATTGTTTCAGTTCACAAGTGGACGTGTTTACGATAGACGAAGTGACTGGTGGTTTGGAGTTGTCGCATACTATGGTTCTCAGCTCAAAAGATTTTCCTGGCGATCCTGGACCTGTGAAGTGTATTAGGTATGTTTTCAAAACTTATGTATTAAGCTATTCCAGCTATAGATACACATAAGGGATTCTCCTTTTTTTTACTAGTAGGCAGCTTTTTTAAATACCATTGGTTTCAATGGAATTTTAAAATTTGAAAGTTAAAAATTATATAGGAATTGAATGTGAATATAATAGAGATTGTATCATAGAATTTATTGGTCTAATAATATAATTAGTATATATGTGTTAATGTTAATAGTTAAATATATAAATGTAAGGAGGCGTGTTAGGTTTATGGTACATTTATATATGTTTTGTACTGGCAACTTTGTGTACTCTGTTCGCTGTTTTGAAAAGATGTCTTGGCGTTGTGTGTAAGAAAATAAAGATGATTAAACAATAAGAAAAGTGTTTTAACAGTTACAATATACTATTACTAATATTTTAAAAGCGAAATTTTGGATGTATGGATGGATAGATGTTTGTTAGAAGGTATTTCAAGAACATAGATGGATATCGCTGTCTGGGTACACGTAGGGTACTCATTTTTTTTAATTCGCAAGTATAGCATAAACACATCAAAATATTGAGAAGCTTAGATCTAATCATAGTAAAATTAAAAACCAAATTACTTTTGAAGTGGAATGTTTATCATGTCGTCTTCTTATACAACCCCCTCGGATCCGTCTTCCGATCTTAGGAGTTCCTAGTCTTCATCGAGCACTATGACATTGTCTGTTTTAGATGGACGGCGGACGGTCGTGCGGTTGCTGTGAGTTGGGAGCGCGGTGGTATATCAGTGTGGAGCACATTCGGTGCTCTGCTCATGTGCTCGCTGGCCTGGGACTACGGTCTCAGTCAGGATCTCAGCAAACACAACCCACTTGTCGTATCCAGTATGGTCAGTTACTATTACAGACAAGAATAGTCAAATTATTTGTTAAAATTTTATTTAGGTGTATCAATTGAAGGGCCTTAGTATGGTCGAACCCGATAAGAGATCACGATACATTTTTGATAATAACATTGTTACGAAATCGATTTGATTTTTGTAAACCTTTTATTGTAATCGAAATAATTTTCTAACGGATATAAAAGATCGATTATTGGTTCGGCTATACGTCGCATAATTGACTGGTAGTAATTGTTTTTTTTTGTTATTACTCTTTATATTTGTAAATGTTTACAATAGGTTTTATTTGCAGGAATGGGCTACAGAAGGCTATCAGCTGTGGATGGTGAAAGTTGAAAGTGATACAAGTTCGAATTTAATACAAATGGATTTTGTTAAAAGTCCCCTCAGTGTAAATCCATGTATGGTGAGTCTAAATTTAACTTGAAAATAATATTTTTTGTAATGGCAACTGTTTTAAGTGATTTAAAAAGTAAAGCAGCTTATTGACATTTTTTTATAATAGCAGATTTTTTTGTTAATTTACTAATATTTCTTGTACCGACTACGCTCTACTCTCTCAACTGATTGCCAATCCATAGCCAATAGTCTAATACGACTATTGGCTATTTTATTAACTTTTGTAATTTTTGATCTTTAATTTGATGAGGAAAATTTATGGCGCGAAAGTGAACGTCAGCGTAGGGGTCGTCCCAGACAGACTTTTACAGCATTAAAAACACACGAAACCGACGTCCATACAAGCATGTGTAGATGTATGAATATAGAAGAGAGAGTAGTGTGTCACGACCCCGCCAAATGGAAATCCGTAGTCCCTGCCTACCCCTTTAGGCTACGGGCATTTTTGTTGTTATAAATTTTAAATTATTAATTTCAGAGTAATCAAAGGCATTTATATTTACAAGCAGATGACAAACTTTATGTCAACTTAGAAGATAATCTAACAAGGAAGACGAAAATAACAATGATTGATTCATCCGATTACCAAGAGAATGGTCTACCGGACCAGCATACGCTGGAGTATGATAAGAAAGCCAAGTACAAAGACTTTGTGGATGACAACGAGTGCAGGAAACAATGGATAGTGTTGCCGTTACCAGCTACATATATAGCTACCAATTGGCCGCTTAGGGTAAATTTTGAGCCCTAACATTTATAATAATATAGTCGAATCTGGGTAAGTGAGAACTGGGACAATGGATAAACTCTATGCGAGAGCTATTGTCCGGTTTTGACGTTTTTAGCCCATAAGTGAGGAAAATATTGAGGTGTCTTGGATTCTCATGTATCCAAGTTCGACTGTAACTTTAAATTTTAATCAAATTTGATGAAAAAGATATTGTGAATCTATAGAAGTAGAGTTAGATTATTTTGGTACCTAATTTTATGACTATGTTTTTAACTCTTTTCCTAAATAAACTTGTTTTAATAGCAAAAGCTGATAAAACCTCTTAGTGTTTATTAGTTTTGTTCAAACACATCACTTTAGCCATTTGCTTGTTTGCTTCCTCGTTCTAGTCTTGGAAACAAACTAATACTAAATACATATTGTACATTAACCGTTGGTTTCCGAGACCAAAATCTCCAAAAGACCAAGTCTCAGAAACCCACGGTTACTAATACAATTTATGTATTGTTCTTGTTTTAATACAGTACAGTGCTATAGACGATGCGGGTGTGAACGTGTGCGTTGCGGGGCGTGCCGGCCTGGCGCACTACAGCTGTGCCTCACGTCGCTGGAAACTGTTTGGTAACGAGGCGCAGGAGAAAGACTTTGTCGTCACTGGTGGCATGCTCTGGTGGAGGGACTACATCGTTATAGGTAAACGAGCTATTACTGATTTGTAAGAAAATATAAAGATTATGAATAAAATGTATTTTTAAATAGATTTATTTGAACCTTCTCTCTCTCTCTCTCTTTCTATCTCTCTCTCACACACTCTACTCTTTTTATTGACACAGTGTTGATATGTGTTATGTGATTAGCTTATGATGAAAAATTTTGTTCTAACAATAATTATGGCAAGAAATTGTACTGAAAATTAAGACAATTTAATTTGTCAGGTTGCTACAGTATCTTGGATGGGCACGACGAGATCCGTTTCTACCCGCGCGACGCGAAGCTGGACAACAGGTTCGCTAAGATGGTGCGTGCGCAGGCGCAGGTGTACGCACTCGACGCGCTCGACGACCAGCTCGTCGTCTTCTCTGCGGACGCGCTCGTCACTATATACGAACTCAGTGTTGAGAAGAGTTAGTTATCTTATTTTGTTATTGATTATTTTTAATACTTATGAATCACTAGCTATTGCCTGCGACTGTGTCCGCACGGAATTAAAAAACTTAATTAGTAGCCTGTGTTCTTCCAGACTATGTTCTACATTTATGTTAAATTTGTGTAGATATCTTCAAACATCCATCCATCCATCTAAACATATGCATTTATAATATTAGTCAGATTATTACGTATGGCCCTCAGACTTGTTATTTAATATAATTTCATGTGAGAAATCTGTACTGGTTAAGTCAGACAGACAGAAGGACAAAAAAATTAATCCTATAAGGTTTCCGTTCTTTTCGTTTCGACCTACGGATACCTAATAAAATTTAAAAATATATCACGAGCAAGGCATTTGTGGCAAATTTTTTACAAGATTTCTTGTACACAGATGGTGGTGTCGAGATGCGTTGTGTGCAAGCTGTAGATATATCTGCGCTGTCGCACCCCGCGTGTGTAGTGTCTGCGGCGCTGTGTCGTCTGCAGGAGCAGCCGGGCCCGCCACACCTCGCACACCTCGCCCGTCCTCACCAACCCACGCATCCGCAAGCCACGCCCCTAGCACCGCACTCGCTGGTCAGTAAATCACCAAATAGTCATCATCATCTCTATACGTCTCCCCCCTCGGTGGAGACCCTAAGTTAGGGGTGATTGGGCCATAGTCAACCACGTTGGCCCAATGCGGTTTGGTTGACATCACACATATCTTTGCATTTCTTCGCACATAGCGCAGTAAGAATAGTATATGTTCCTTCACCAATAGTAAATATTATGAACTAGCTGCCACTCGTGACTCCGTCTGCGTGAAATTTAAAAAAAAAACGCAAAATTAGTAGTCATGTTCTTCCGGGCTATGTTCTACATCTATGCCTCGTTTCAGCGAGATCCATTGTGACGTTCTAGAGATATCTTCTAACATCCATCCGTCTCAATATTCGCATTTATAATATTAGTAAAATGAGTGTGCTGGTTGGCTTGTACTTTTTGTCTCTTTCTCGCATAAAACTTTGTTTTCCAATTTATTCACCCCATCAGGTTTATAGCGTGAAAATTTACAGCATATAGTTTGTTGTAAGTGTAGGGCTCTTTGCTAAAAAACACAATTCAAAAATTTGCTGTGATTCCTGACATCCTAATGCAAATACATGTGTGTTATCGTTTTATTGTATTATTATAGAGAGATTTCATACATGACGACTTTTAGTAATTCTTATATACCATGAACAAATGTACTATATGCAAATACTGTACATGTGTTAATATTTAATTTGTATGTAGGTAATAAATGCAAGTGGGAAATTGATGATGGTGCAGAGAGAGGAATACGACGTCGACGAAGACAACAATCCGGTAAGACTTATTCTAGTGTAGGTGTGTAAATATATAGGGGCAGATCAATAACTATTTGTTTAAATTCATTATAAAAGTTTATTTACATTCGTATATTTAAATCAGGTACACTTCTCTAGTCTGGATATACCAGAAATCTTAACTTCTAAGACCTATGTGTACTTTTACACGTGCTTATTTTATACAATGTGCAAAAACACACAAGTGTCGCGAGTAACTAGTAGGTTACTTATACATATAGAAGTTACAGCTTACTGTTATGTGGCACAGGATATAGTTATCCTTAATGCTTAGTCTTAATTGTCAGCGTTTTACCATCTAGAGCTATGGGACCGGTGGCCCATCTCCGGACTATGTTTCCCTTGTGACCGTACGAGGTGCCGGACACCGACACCCACGAGGGTTGTTGAGCTTGAATTGGGTACGGAAGGTAGTCCAGTGTTTGGTATTGCGCTAGGAGAGGCGTGGTCTCCAAATATTGCGTTAGGAGTTGTCCGTGTTCAATTGGTTCTTCAACCGGCGCTGGTAAGGGTGCAGGTGCAGGCGCGGCGTAGTAAGATGGCTCCTCTATTATCGGAGCAATGGGAGCGATCTGCTGGTAAGCAGGGAGCGGCGCCTGGTATTCGTAGGTCGGTGTGTACAACACCTGTTCTTGTATCTTAGGTGCGATTTGTCCGTAAACAGCCGACACTGAATGTACATTGGGTCCGGATCTCTTGACGACCGCGTTGAAGCCACGCACGGCGTCTGCGGTGTATTCCACGACTCGTACGTTACCGTCTGGCTCCACTAGGGAATAGGAGCCCCTGACCACGTCGCCGTCACGTTTTTCCCATTGAGCTTTGTTATCGCCGGTTGACGGGTCGTTGACGGCGTAATTGAACTCGTAATTCGGGTTCGGCTGAAAAAATAAATATTAAGCCATAACACTGAGGTAGCCGTTGACTGTTATAGTCCGTTATCTAGACTATATCTTTTTCTGAGTATCAGAGAAAATAGAAAATTAATATTTGGTAATTAGGCAGTAAATTAACGGTAGTAAATCGTTACGCACAATCTTGTCGACAGTCGCATAGGTTGCGTATCCGAGCGATTGCCCGTACTCCGACGCCATCGCAACGGATGCCATAAGGCAACATACCTGGAATTTAAACAACCGTTTAAGTATTAAACATCAATATTCAACGCCGTTTACTCTAATTATCTTACTAATATTATAAATGCGAAGGTATAACCTAAACGGCTTAACGGGTTTTGATGAAATTTGGTACACATATCTAGAGTCTAGAAGAACACATAGGCTATTTATTAAGTTTTCTTTTAATTTCACGCGGACGGAGTCGCGGTCGACAGCTTATAGCTAACAGTAGGTAAATTAAACAAATGACATTTCTTCCTATTTGAATGTATGATAAAAAGTGACGACTCTTTCAATAGAAATATTTAAATCGACAAATATATAATTACCGTTAAATACTTGTTCATTTTGCTGACAAGGTATTCCAGTAAGCAATTGAAGTGCACTGTGTTTTTGTCATCGAACAGTAGCATTTTATATAGCACTAATTATTCCGACGGGTGTGCGTCGCGCCGGTTTTGTTGGCCATCTCGTTTCCACGGATGGTTTGACATGTGTGCTTTTCTGCGTATTCTAGTATAATTTAACGGACCCCGCGCTCATAATAGAGTTACGTGTTATGTCTTCAATTGTTTTTCCTTGATTAAATTAAAAAATAATTCGTGTTATAAGGATGAGATAACGGTCACAGCTCAGTGGTTGTACTATGAATCTTGCGACGAGGTTCGATTTCTATCATATAACAAAGGTTTTTATTTTCCATTAATAATTAATTTTTAAAGTAAAACCGTATGTAGTTGTTTGTTCTAAAAAGGATTTACTATTTATGTGTATTACAGTTTGTTTAATTTTCCTTTAAAGGTCTAAATAAGAGGGGGGTGGTGTGAATATGTTTGTAGAAATATTTTACACAGCTTAGATACGAATACGAAGTCTAGAGACTTGACACTTAAGGGTTTTGTTACAACGTATGAGAGCACCATGGAATTATTTTACGAAATTCATACCTTAAATGTATGGAAATGGAGTAATTGCTTGGAAGTTTTTACGGAGCCATTTTATTGTTTCAACAGAATTACTTAAAAATTATATAGAACTCTTTTCATAACAAATAATTTACTGCCCGTTTCAATGTTCATATTAAATTTATCCCGTTCATGTTTGTACCTAGAATTTTTTTTCTAAGCTTAGATACGGGGAATATATATAATTCTATAATTTGATCGACCTTCGGCTATTTTTATTATCTTTGCGATCTAACATATACAACTTAATAGATAATTTGTCCTGTCCGAAACTTTTGCATGTCCTTTGATGTTTATTTATACGCCTTAACACTGCTATACCTACATTTCTTGCTCGTATTCTACAAGGACCCATGCTTTAACTCCGTACAGAAGAATGAAGAAAATTTAATAATGCGCTTGCATCTCGTCGCATCCTTAGTACCGCCTTTTATTTCTCAGAAGTGTCTAAATCTGAAGAGAATGTTTCAGACTTGTTCTACGCCGCATGTTATTTGATATTAATATCCTGTATAATTTATATGTTTTTTTGCCGATTTCAATAAGAAACAAGTTATCAATTCGTCTGTGTTTTAAAGTAAGAAAAAGAGTAAAGCTAGAAATCTCTGCATCTACTCAGATCTTGTTATGTTTCAGTGTCTTAAGGTTTAGAACGACAAGATTATCTGTCCTGGCAGACATAAGATAAACTAAATTAAGACAGCACAGTAGCGCCACTCTGACAATTCCAAAATGTCACAAGATCCTTATTACACTGTAGCTGTCTTGTATTTTTTCTTTTTATTGTAGTTTTATATCTTTTGTGCCGATACTAACTCCGTTACCAGCGTCTCTATCATCGGGCCAGATACCCTTGTTTAACTATACGCATTTCATTACCACAGAGGGATAGGAAGAATATTGTCTTTACATTTCATCTTTACTAAGGATCTCATCGACGAATTTTGTATCAATACATATTAGGTCTATATTTTATCAAAAAGAATGAAAGAGACGTCAATATGTATTAATACAACTGTAACTGCACTTTCAAAACTAAATTGCCATTGTTAAAAGATCAGTATGTAAACATATTCTTATCTCTATTTCTTCTTAGATTATTTGTGCGACGACAATATGTTAACCACGTAATAGTTAACTTTCAAAGCAATATAAATGGACGGTGAAAAAGTAAAAAGCTGATATTCTTATTCTATTCTTTATTTATATTTTTTGTTTTTAAAATCAACATGCAGTCTTTCGGTTTCGTTACATTACTATGTAAAATAATACTATATAATAACATTGTTAGATAAACATATAAACATTAACACATTAAATATATTTTACTTCTATGCAGAAGTAAATATATAAAATGAAAGTTACACCATTCTTTTTCGCAGATCTAGATGGAGGTAGCATAGTTTTGTTTGTCTTGAAGTGATAAATCGGGCTCTTTATATCACCATTCTAAAAGTACTAATTGTTTTTGATGCTATTAAAGGCAGTAATTTTTGCTAACATTTTACGACAAAGTTGCAACAAACTTTTTTACATAACTCGTTAACTAAAACTTAAATCTGATTTTGATGTAACAAAGATAACTAGATCGAATAGACTAGATACCTTTTACGGATAACATCGTAAAAAATTATGTAGATAATAGGCATTGTAATTCAATTTTTCTTCTTTATGACTAATGTTTTAACGTTTTGTAATGATATAGGTCCAGTTGTCCACTCATGTAATTTGCCGTTTACATATTTCTTGCTAAAGACAGTAGCGTAGGGCCCTTGCGCCACCGGACCGTTAAGCGGCACCCAGCCACCGTAAGATCTGGTGACAGGGTCCCATGGTAGACTCCAGTGACCTAAAGATGTCACTTTTGGGAGACCTATCGCTAAAGGTGCGGCGCCGAAACCATAGTTAAAACTGGAAATAATGGAATTTTTAGGACCGCTGTTTGTGACCGTAGAAATGCTGACTGGAGTAATATCAACCACGGGTACAACTTTAACAGGTGCCTTAGACTTAATGGGTACTGTTCCATGACTTGTTTTTGTTATGATGGTAATTGGATGTACATTATTGCCGATTTTCTTGACCACTGCGTTGAAACCTTTTAAATCATTCGCGGAATATTCCACCACCCGAATGGTACCGTCAGGTTCTCGTAAAGAGTATGCGCCGTTGACGACATCACCGTCCCTTGCTTCCCATTGCGCTTTGTTGTCTTTTGTTATTGGGTCGTTTATGGCATAGTTGAAGCCATAGCGAGGGTAATCCTGTGAACAGATTAATCTTTATAACTAAACTTTCCACTTTATAAATTCACTGACATTAATTTTTATATAGATTTCCGAGATTCGTATAAGATTGGAACGTTACAAAATGTACATTACGAAAAATGAGGTTGAATAATACTTACGTATTCGGAGACAAGAGTCTTCCGTGATACGGCGGCACCCGAAACAAATGCCACCGCCAGGGCCGTCAAACTTAGTGTCTGAAAAAAATCCAATCAGAGTTATCGTGTGGAACATTTCAACTAATAATCTCGTAGTAATAGGACAATAGAATTAATGAACTGTCATATCTTTAGCAATTGTTTTTGCTAAATCAAAACTCGTCTGTTATCAGTCATAATAAATCGACCCTGTAAACGAAACAAATGTAAGAAAATGATACGTTTTAATTACCATCAAAAGTCGATTCATGTCGATAGAGTTGGTCGTTCTACTGTTGAATGTGTGATTTATTGGGCGTAGTGTGTTTATATGCTTATCGAGAACGATGCCGGCAGTGTAATGCTAGGGGTGGCCACCTCGCTACTTCTTTATAGGTACGTGTCTGATATAAGCACGACCCGTTTTCATCGGGTTTCGGCCGCGAGTTATGCGACTCTGATGCGTAATCCGCATTTACTGATTGTTTTTTGTATCATACTTTTGTTTTTGTTATGAGCCTAAAGAGAGTGGGAAATAACTCGTATTTTTATACTAATTATGTTTTGAACACTCATTTATATACAAGTTTTTACTCTGAGAAAGAAGAATTTGCCTAAACATAGATAGATTTCTATACTTTTTTATTTAGCAGTTACTGAATACATTACCTATCTGCTTATATATGTTTACATAAAATGTCACGCTCAAATGAACGCCGAAGAAATTAAACTCAAACACGTATACAACTTGTTTGTAAGATAATTTACAAATGTTCGCATAATAAAACATAATTTTTTAAATTTTAAGAAGAGTCGCTGAAAGTTGTTGACTCTCGAGTGGAAAATAACAATTATTTGAGAATTTTTTAACATCTTTAACTTTATTTAACTTGAGATTAAACCTGTAATTAGGTCGGGCAAATCTTATATGTTTTCGTAGCTCCTCTACGAATCGACGTAGCATCTGTTTAAGATGTTAATGTTATAAAAAATATTTTTCTTAGAATATTGTTTGACTGATAGTTACTTATGCAAATATAAATAAATTAACAGGAGAATGAGGTTAAGAGAAACAAAAAATATGTCACCACACAGTGGCTGATGTCTTATCAGTGCAGCTTTATTTCCAACTAATTTAAATAACATATTTTTACCCTAACACTTACACGATTTGACACTAATGCTCTTACAATTTTAGAAAGGACCAGGTATAAGAGTTTTTTTGGTAGCGGCAGCTAAACATGTCGTCAAGTTCATACCATCGTCTTTCTTGCTGCGCTCAGTGTTTATATCCCAAACCCAGGCTGTCCCATGATGCTCCATGAGCATCGTATCCAAGGTCGTATCCGTTACCTGCTAGCAAAGAATCTTTCAGCAAGTAATCCCCCAATGAGATCGAGGGTAGTTGCTCCGTACCTTTCAGTAACGGCCATGGAGCTAACAGACCTGGGTCCAATAGAGGCGATAATTTAATAGGCGCGGCAGGAATAGATAACGATTTGTAAATAGGTTCGGCTAGGATCGGATTGGGTAGGGGTGCCTTCTCATAAGATTGAGTAATTATAGGTTGTGATATGATTGGGGCTTTATAAATGGGACCCGTATATATTGGGGCGATCGGCGCTATCGGTGCCACCGATTTTACAATTGGCGCAGCTTTGTATAAAGTCGATGAGGAGACGGCTCCGCCGTAAGATGATCCGCTGACTAAAGGCGCGCTGGCAAGCGCCTCGATTTTGGCCACCGATCCCACGCTGATAGGGGTGACGGCAGGTCCATTGCTCAGCAAGGGAATGGGCGCCTTGTATATGGGCGCCGCGACGGGGTGTAGATTGGGCCCGATGCGTTTCACCACAGCGTTGAAGCCGGACTTTGCGTCTGCCCAGTATTCCACGACCCGTATGCTACCGTCGGGCTCCACCAGCGAGTACGCGCCTGTCGTATAAATATTTATGAAGTTTCGACAGATAAAGAATGATATTTATTCCAATAAAGGGCATTAAGATAATTTAAACTTACCTTTAACCGAGTCTCCGTCTCGTTTCTCCCATTGCGCTTTGTTGTCTCCGGTGTGCGGATCTTTTACTGCGTACTCGAAGGCATAACTTGGATACGTCTACAAACAGGAGAATACATAATATCCAGTTCGAACATAGTATAATCGATTCCATTCAATATATATTAAACTTTAAAAGCAGCAGTTGTCCGATGTTGTCAAGGGCAATGGCAACTCAAATATGACAACACTCACATAGTAGTCAACAGAGGAATGCCCTGGGGCGTAGATGAGTCCGTCTAATGTCCCATCAGCGTTGCTAACTGCTGTCAGGGCAAGAAGGCACGTTACCTAGATAATTATAAAACAACACTTTAATCCCGTATCATTGAAAAATACATATTTATCTTGTCTAAACAAAAAACACACGAACCGCTAAATATAGTTTCATTTTTTTTGCGAGGCGCTGTGGCCACGTGGTGTGCAAAACTGGTACGTAGTTGTTTATGCTGGACCATTTATAGGCGATTGTTTAACACGTCCGTGTCCTGGCGTGAAGAGGATATGGAGCGGGTGCGCCCGCGCCGCCCGTGTCCGCTCCACGAGCCTTGCATCATGCTTCCACATTTTCAAACAACCTTCGATCGGTGAAAACGCGATATGTACTGTATTGATACTAATGTCGATATTAACAAGACCAGGAACTTTGAATTAATTTAATTAACGTTACCTTTAATCAGTGTAAAATTTTATTGAGTGTGAAGTATTTTACCTACAACAATGTATGTAATTATTTTATAATAACTCTTATTGATTAAGGGATTATGAGAGTTGTGTGTCCTAAATTCATTATCAAAGATTTGTATGTATCAAGAACAAAAAATTTCTATGTCATGTCACTACACGATTACAGTGTTTTGTCATCCATTATTAGTAAAGGCAAAATTGTAGAGAATATTAAATTGCAGTTATTTACTTAGGACTGCACTGTTTATGAAATTGCATACAGAAATGGCAGCATTTAAATAATTTCAGCATTTTATATTATCCTTACAGTTGTGTTGAGGTAACTAAGTACCGATATCATGTGAAGCGTAACCAACGTACATGCAATAACAGCGAGGAACCAGCGAATTATGATTTGCTCTAATTACGAGCAGCGCTGACCCCGAGACTAACAACCGGTAAACTCGCGCTAAAGGACTCACATACGACTAATTGTCAGAATTTAATACGGATCTTCCGAAAATTCCTAATTATTAAATTATAAAATATCCTGTTATGAACATAATTTATCTTTGAAAATTCGTTATGTCTTTTATGTTAACGTTACTACTTTAAAAACATTGCTATTCATGGAAAACTAGCTTAATGTCTATTATGAGACTGGACTCTTAAACTTTTAAATACAGTACGATTAAGTTTAGGGTTAACTAATTGTCGATGTACAGTTATGAAATAAGAGCGACATTCCAAATTGCAACTGCGTAGCCGCGCGTGAAAACATTCCTAATCAATACGCAAATAAGATTTGTGCAACTGTATGTATTTGCTATTTGCATCTTTATTAAAATATAGTTTACCTGTAAATTACTGTGGAAGTTAAATCGTAAATTTTTCGAAAGGAAGCACTAAGCGACAACGCAACAAACACATGAATTCTTGAATAAAGGTGGAATTGTATGTAAGAAAAATGAGAGGTGTAATAAAGAGTGAAAGGTCCCTTTTTTCTTCGTAAATGTGCCCCCGTGCTCAACCCACCTGAAACAAACGGAAGCATGTACGAAGACCATAATTACTGTGTTTGTAGGCGTACAGCTGCCTGCCGGCGACAGTGCTGGCGTCTTGCGTGGAAAGCGTATGGTCGTGCGGTGGCGCGCGCCAGCAGACACAATTGTCGCGTGCGCTTTGGCTTTGGTGCGGCGCGCTCGGCGCCCGAGTCTGGCTGCCGCTGCTGCCGCGCGACGCCACCCGTCGCCCCGACTCCTCTCGCCATACCTTTATGGCCAAACGCATCATGCTCCCTTTCCATCTTAATATATACCCTCTTAGTGAGTAATGCCATTTGAAACATATTATTCGCATTAGCATTAACTAACTTAATATAGATATGACGTCTGATAGAGATACACCCTTCGTAGAAAAAGGTCAGGAAGATGATGAGTAAGAATACGTTTATGTGATGTACTATATAGTATGATTTTATCTTCCTAGCAATTCTCTTCGATGACGCCATACTGCTTGGAGCAGAAAATGACACAACCCTTTATGCATCAGACTCCAACTCCGTGTTCTCTTTGCCATTCTGTGTCGTCAATAGAACGGTAAGTGTACACGTACAACGAGATTATTTATTATCCTAAAAAAGAGTAAAACTTTACATATATGTGTAATATTACAGAGTCAGGTGTACCTGCATCAAATCTTACGTCAACTGCTGCGTCGTAACCTGGGCTACCACGCGTGGGAGATAGCCCGCTCATGTGCGCAGCTGCCATACTTCCCGCACTCGCTGGAGCTGCTGCTGCACGAGGTGCTGGAGGAGGAGGCCACCAGCAAGGAGCCCATACCCGACGCACAGTTGCCCAGCGTCATTGAATTTGTTCACGAGTTTCCAGTCTATCTACAGGTGAGTCAACATATAGTTGATTATCATAATTCATACTAATATTATAAATGCCAATGTTTGGATGGATAGATAGATAGATACATTTTTGGGTATCTCCAGAACAGCTGAACGTATCTCGATGAAATGAAATAGTTAGAACACATTGGCTACTAATTATGTTTTTGTAAATACCGCGCGGACGAAGTCGCGGACGTCAGCTAGTACTTCATGAGAAGTAATAGTCTCAATGTTCGTGCTGCTTATTTCCATGTTTTTTTTTTAGTCAAACTCCATACTAAATTCATTGAATTGTTTTTGAAACATAGTGAATAGTTAGTTAAATGATTGCTGTTGAGTACAAAGTTAAAACTAACTTTAAAATATATTTTTAGACAGTGGTACAGTGCGCTAGAAAAACAGAAATAGCTCTGTGGGCGTATCTGTTCTCTGCGGCCGGCAAGCCCAAGGAGCTGTTCCAAGAGTGTCTGCAGAGGAAGATGCTGGACACCGCCGCATCATACCTCATCATACTGCAGGTTAGTTATATATATACTTTGTAACAGAACACTGCATTGACTAACTTTACTAATATTATAAATGCGAATGTTTAGATGGATGGATGGATGTTTGTTTGAAGGTATCTGAAGAACCGCTGAACAGATTTTGATGAAATTTTGCATACATATGGAACATAGTCTGGAAAACATACATAGGCTACTCATTAAGTTTTTTTTAATTCCCTGAGGACAGAGTCGCGGGTGACCGCTCATATATTTCTACATATGACATCCCTTTCATTATCTTTGACAAAAAAGAGACAGTTATATATATTAATATAAATATCACCTTAAACAAATCCCAATCATTTAACCTATGCTTTTTGTTGTCCTTGAATTAATTTAAAAATAAGTACAATATTTTTATTCATTATGGTGAAGGTGCATATAAATGTGTCTAACAGAGTGTTTTTCGTTTATATGTAACTGGATGAATTATTGTTATTTTCAGATTTCAAAGGTAATTTTTGTTATTCCATAAAATAAATACACTATAATATTTATGAATATGTATTCACAAATGCGTTTTCCTTAGTTTTATGTTTGAAATTTAATTTGCTTATTATTAAAAGTAGAAGTATTTAATAAGTTGGATATAGTTATTTGTATTTATAAGAAGCCTTGGCTCTTTATTTAAATTTACTTGTGTTAAAATATTTAGCTTTTACGTAAAATGTATATAATATTTACATTAAAATAATTTACCATAATACTAAAACACGCATTTAAAGTTATACCAAAGTTATTTTGTAGTTGTAAAGATTTTGCTTGTATTTGTTGCATAGAAATATATTTAAGAATGTTTGAAAAGTCTCATAGTCTCTGCATAATCCATATGTATATGTTTTCAGAACCTGGAGAGTTCTGCTGTGAGCCGGCAGTTAGCCACGCAACTGTTGGATACAGCGCTGCAGCATGAGCGCTGGGATCTCGCCAGGGACCTTGTACGCTTCCTCAGAGCCATAGGTATGTTCATACTGTTAGGAAGAAAATCCGACACTGTGCCGGTGTATCGGCGCAACACTAGCCTTAAGAAAATATCGACGTTTATGTCCCCTCACTAATCAATCTGACACTTGACTTGGTAATAAAAGCGAGCCATTCGCTCCAAATGATTCTAATTAATACTGTCTAAAAATACATATTATACTTATTAATTTGTTTGTTGTCTGTTTGTAGTGTGATTTTATTGTGGATATATGTACATTTATCGTCTATGTATAGATCCAAACGACGTGGACTCACCGCGCAATTCTGTGAACGTGCAGGCCAAGTACGGTCAGATAGTGCAGCCGCAGACCGTGCCTAACGCGGAGGATCTCTCTGTTATACTCGGCACAATGCAGGTAATCGTATTCCTTTAAAATATATCAACGAGGCCCTAAAAGTGGCTAAAGCTACAAATTTTGTAAAAAAAAATCTTTATAATGTTCTGTATGGTGTTTAGCTGGCTGGCGGTAGAGGGCGCAGCTTCAGTACGACGGCAGCGCCGCGGGAACCTTCTCCGCCTGCAGCCGCGCCCGCACCCCAGCCCGCGCGCCGCACCGCCGCCGTCAAGCGCAAGAAATCCGTCCCTGCGCGTGCTGACAGGTATTCACAAGAATTGAAGAACAAGTTCTCGCTAAATGTACGACGTATAAACGTAGATAGATTTGACGCTTTTCGATTTAACTCAACAGGGAATCCTACAGCGGCACTGCAGAGGAGTTCTTCATCGATATGATGATTCAGCGTCACGCTCGGTTGCTGCTGTCTACAGCGCGGCTGGTGGCGCTGGGTCGGCTGGCGGCCGCCCTCGACTTGCACCTCGTGGCTTGGCTGGCGGGAGAGCGAGAGCGCGCCGCCCGCGTCGACAGCGCCGTGCTCTGCCTCAAGCGCCTGCATGATGACTTCAACTGGCCATACCCCGTGCTGCAGCAGGGCGATGAGCACTATATCCAGCGCAAGGCCAGCGTAGTACCAAGTCAGTTTTAATATAATTAACATTAATAATTAGTTTGATTAATACCATGAATATATTAAACAAGAAAATCTTCCTGTAGGTCCAAGCACGCCTTCAGCAGAGACGGACAGCCTGTGCGGCGACAGCGGCTATATGAGTCTGTCGTTACGCGCCGCATTGCCAATCGCACTCGGAGCGCCCATTTCACCCGGACCCGTCAGGTACTAATACAAGTACTATGCTTCATATAGTGTTTATTCACGAATTAATTTTAATTACAAATTAAATTGAATAACGTAATTCGTCACTAGAACAGTAGGTCTGTATAATAAAGCTATGATGGTAATATAGTTCAGCGGGTGAGTGCAGCGTGGCGGAGGGCGGGGCGGTGGCATGGGGCGGGGCGAGTGAAGGTGGGGGCGGGGAGGAGCGGCGCTATGCGGCACTTATGGAGCGCCTGCACGTGCATCAAGCAGAACGCGGCGATCACACAGCGCATGTGCGGTTACGGTACGCAACAACCAGTTCATTAGCACAAAAAAACTTAAACAATTAATTATTATCACTACTCTGTTCTCATTTCAGATACTTCTTACAACTAATGACGGAGGCGTCGTGCGTGGAATGGGCACTGGTTGTAGCGGTAGCGCTGAAGGACGCGCTCGCCGTGCTACGCACTGCCAACGCTGCGCGTGCGCATGACGTTAGCGCCGCTGCTGTGCGCCGTCTACGCACTGCCATTATAGACCTCTGCGCGTGGAGCGACGCAGAGTGGTATAGCTTTTTATACTGTTCCCGTGTTTGATTGAATTTTTCCATAATTCAAAAATTAAATATATATTGCATCCGTACTTGATTTCAAGTTTTTACGTTAAAAATATTTTTACATCTTAAATAATTGCAGTCTTGGCTACAAACCGTTCATGATGGCGATTAATAACCAAGTGCCGTTTCTGACGTCTATCATCAATGCGCGTGAACGAAGAGTTTCAATGGTCAAGAACCGTGTGCGTACACCTAGTACAGGCTCCTTAAACTTGGAACTGAAATCTCAGGTAAAATGTTATACTTACTTTATTGGTACTACTGCAGAATATTTTAGATAATACTTACTGGTATCAGTCGTAATGGTGCTTATTATTGTGTTAAATTTCCAGCAAACGCCTCAAGAAGCCATACTGCCACCGCCGCAGAAGGCGCAGGAGGTGTCGAAGCAATCCGTCCGCAAGGAGTCCCCCAAAGTGGCCGCCGACAGTAACCCTACTCCGGCCGCCGTGCCACCTCCCCCAGCTCCCCCCGCACCCTCCAACTGCCGGCTCATGTAGTTCACCACACCCCCCACTCAACACATATCCAACAGCTCAATATACTCGCCAAATGTTTTTAACATTATACTTTTGGACTTTACTAACCAAAAATTTAACAAACACATTTGTAATCTGGCAGAAAATATATCTGATGTTTTTATTTTTTCATCTGTCATCTGTCAAAAGTTTGACAGTGACAGAACTGTTGATGCTTTGGGTATAGAAAATGTAAATCTACTAATTTAAACTAATAATGGAATTTGTGATTAATGTAATTGTATATCGTATAAATAGTAGAATTTTAAATTAAAACTATACAAAATAATTAATAATAATGTGAAATGTTTTTAATATATTTGTGAATTTATTATTCAACTTCTTAGTTGAATTTGATTTTTTCACTAACAATGGGTATATCGTTACAACTTTCTTGGGTCTTTTTGTATGTCTGTATACTTAGTCTCGACTTTTAAACTAATTGAATTAATATTTTCATGGTGCGCTAAAGTCTCAATTTTCCGGGTGTTTCTCGTTGGGCCGTTCGTCCGGTTGAATCCATAGAATCAATCGGCCCAATGGGAAACAACCAATTTATCACCGTTGCTCACAAAAACTATACAGCATTAACTATTCTCTAGTCTTTACTACTTAGTGTTTGTTTTCTTATAGAATCTGTGCAGTCTTATTTATATTTAATTTAATCAATTAGGTTTTAACAATATGTTCTACTTATCATCGGTTTCTGAGACCAAAATTTTAATATGAAACGTGTCATCCCTGTCTTTTTTTGGTAAAACAGAGTTATGTTTTAAACGGGGATTTTTTATTATTTATTAACAGGACAACTTACAGTTCACTAACAATATAATAATTATGTAAATAGAAACTTAAAGCTAATTACAAGTTGACACATGGTAATTTTGATCTCAGAAACCCACGGTTACTGTGGGTTTGATTACAATGACATTTGTTATGAAACATATTGTCGTTTCTGACAATCTCTTTGACAAAATAGAGATAACAATATGTCAGTAGAGCCGAACACACAGTTAAATGTGACATGATAAATTATTTTAAAGAAACATTTTTAAGCCAGTATTTCCAAGCAAACATTCTACACAAATGTGTGTACACTTTATAAATTGTTTTTAACATGTCTCATTTTATTAAAATTATGTTCATAATGGATTTAAATGTAATTTTTATATTTCAATTGAATTATATTTGCTGTTTTAAACATGAAATAATGTTTGTAGTATAGGTAATAAATATTTTAATATAAATTTAATATTTAGTACAATGCATAGTAAAATCACCTTAAAGATATTTAAATTTCTTTATTTTATTTACAATTTTTATGTAATTATTCAAATGAAATTATATTATAATTGGGTATTAGTCATCATAAATTAATGAATTATTTTCGTCAACTTATTTCTCTAATAACATTTTGCTCATAGCCGTATTATGGTTAATAATTTTGTTTTGCTCAAGAAATAATCTCTTATATTAAGTTTCACTCACCGATCTTTTGTATCATTTTACTGGAATTTCGCCATTTTGGTGCCAATTTACTAATTACGGAAAATTTTAATTTACTATATAACATTTTCTTTATTAGAATTGTAAATTAAGATGTCGTTTTCCAATATGAGCCATAGTTATAAACGATACACTAGCAAAATATTAACTTTAGGATTTTAGTACAAATTAATATAATTTAATACTTTACTCTCAATGCTGACAACATATCTCCAGTTCCTCTGGTGTTACGAATGTCCATGTGTCATTTCTGTAGACCACCTCGGTTCTCCTGCCTTTTTTTCGCTTTGTTGTCTTATAAAAAAATATCTACACTTTAAAACCTACACCACATTGTTATGCACTTTGTATTTTAAAAATTATTTAAAATGGCAATTATTTTTCATGAGAATACCATTGGTTTTATTATTCAAGAAATATGACATGAGTGGTTAATTTCATGACAACTAAAGTATCATGTTTTTCAGGTCGCATAGTATTATGAGAGTAAAGTATTAAGACTATTGTGTCCATATCAACTATACACATTTTATACTGATAACTTTATAATTTATAAGTATGTAAGCAATAATATATTAAATTCATTTTAAATTAACATAGCAATAAGAAATCAGAGTTTTTAATTTTGTTTGTATTTAAAATATTGATATTTTTTTATTTAAATTAATTTGTACCTTTATGTTTTATTGGTATAATTTGGTCAGTTATTACAAATTTTGTACTAAATATATTGACTATATGATTGATTGAATAAAGTTACATCTTGAAAAGGCCTCCATTGGAGTAACAGGCGTCAATATGTGGGTTTCCACTGCCGAAACACTCATACAGAAACATATTATAATCCATTTTGAAATAACCGATACATTTTTGTATGAGTCAGCAGTTCATGGTTAAAATAATATATGTTTTAATATATAGAAATACTGGTATATATAGATTTATACCTAATTTATATAACATTCCAAATTCAAATTATTGCAATTACTATGAAATTACTTAAAAAAGTAATGAGAAAAAAGAAATTATGTTTCTGATGTTTTCTTCGTACATTATTTTCAGAATGCTATAGGTAGTTTACACTTTTTTAATTAATATAATAATACTTGTCAACTCATTGGTTGCATGCTAGGGGTCAATTAACGTTGTGACTAGTATTTATGTTAACTAATAACCGAAAACCGTCACTTAACTTTCCGGTGCTAGTAAAGCTAAGACACGTAATCAATTTTATCCATTTCAGAATCAATTTAGGCGTAAATAACTAAATCAATTAAAATCCCGTCATCAATAAATGTATTGTGAATTAAAAAAAAATGTTTTTATTTACGTCCTATCTCTGTTCCTACATTATTGAATGAAACTTAACCTGTTGTTATGAAACTTTGACAGGGTCTTCCTTGTTTGCTAGGAGAGTTTCTAGGGGTTTCTAACTAGAGTGTTAAATGATCCACTTAAGGCCTTTCCTTATCAAAATTTGATTTTTCGATTACATTCATGTGATATTTATAAACCTTTCCTGTCACATTTTTGAATGTAACACCAATACATATGAAAATCTATTAAGATATGTTTGGAGGTCACGTTAGACAAAGAAAGCGGACTTCCATTTGGCGAGGTCCTGAAACACCCTTCACGCTATATGCCGTTTCATTTAGGATTTAAAAAGGTTCTTAATGATGAGCTGTTCAAACAGACATCCCTTTCGTACGTCTTGATAGATAACGTTTTTATTATATTTCAAGTCAAAATAAAGTGCTATCGAATAACTGCGTTGATATGATCGCGAGTTTTTAAAACAAGAAACTTGCAACACTGATGACTGAAAATTTAAGTCTGACACTGACAGCAATTAAAAAAAAGAGGCCATTGAACGAACTGTCAATACGTTATACTTTTTGTTAGGAGAATGTAGAAACATTGATTTTACACGTTTTAAAGTTGTTTTTCTAAGATTATTTACTTTGTATATGAAGTTTTAGATAATTAGCCGTCTAACTGTCACACGATGGCAGCCACGGCACATAACGAACTTTCGATCGTGGACTTGAAGGTGGAGATTGAGAGACTAAGTCGGGAACTGGACCAGGCCAGCAGCGAGAAGATCCAATCGGCTCAACTAGGTCTGGTGCTGCTAGAGGAAAAGAGTGCACTGCAGCAAAGATGTAACGAACTGGAAAGCCTCTATGAGAACACGAAACACGAACTTGAGATCACCCAAGAGGTTAGATGTCCTACATACCGTCTTATTTTCACTTTTCATGCATTACTGGATTCTCATTAAGATAAAGCAAACGGTAACTCTAAATAAGATTAACACATCTTATATGTGAGCACTGAACTACTTACAAAAATTATGAGTGAAATCCTGTTTTACTTTATACAATTTAAATGTAAATGTTTCCAACAAATTGTTCAGATGAGTAACAACACAGTAGCAACTAGCTAGTTGTATTAAATATCAATGAAATATTATTATACTACACTTATTTTATTTGAGTGAACAATGTAGTAAATTAACATAACATATGTGAAAATTAACTATATCTGTTTGACAGGCTTTGATGAAACTCGATACAACACAGAAAGTGACCACACAGAGTGGTATTGAACAGGAAAATGCACTCCTCAATGAATCGGCTGCTATGGAAAGCTCTCTCACATTACAAATCATTGAACTGGAAGGAGAAACAAAACAAGTAAGTTATCTATTTTGGTCTGTTAGAATTTTGTTCTATGTTGAATACATACAGAATAAAAGTGGGTTAATAATGATGATTCATCTGTAAAAAATATTTTCTCATCTCTGGTAATAATACAGGAATATTGAAAAACGCAATATTTACAGATTCTAATAAGTTTTAATATATGACAAAATTTGTTTGGTCGCTAATTATAAATATTCACATATGTTTTAGACTTTGTAAATCAACGTATAAGTTGTTTAGATAATATGTTCCATTTATTATAATTTAAACCTTAAGTTGGTGAGTAAAGGGTGCAAACTTTTGTCACAATTTCTACAATACTATATAGCTTCCAATAAGAATATTAAAATAGCGACATTTTTGGATTCCGCTGTGTGTTCTTCCAAACCATATTCTCCATCTATGCTAAATTTCATCAAGATCTGTTTTGCAGTTCTGAAGATCAAAGAAATATTTATTTAACATTAATAATATTAGTAAGTTTGTAAAAAATTAAATCTAACATTTCATTGGTAATAATGAACTTTGGAACAACGATTTTAACAGTTCTTAACCAAATAATAACTCTTGTCAGTATTTTACAAAAGTAATTATTGTAAGTCAAAATTTTTATAAATTTATCAAAATTATTTTAAATTAAGTTCTAAGAAATGATAATATTATTAGCATAAACTTCTGTAATTTTTATTAATGTTCATTTTGAGCTTACATCTTCGTAACAAGTTCGGATATCCGAGGACTAATATCATTACCCAAACCTAAAAGAAAGTCACCACTCACTTTCAAATAATTCCTTGATTTTTAATTATTACAAAACAATCCTTCGTTTTGTAGTTTGAATTTTTTAATTATATATTTATAGTCATTCATAGACTATGTTTTGGCTTCTACGGATCATAGACCACTTGTAACTATTTGCTATGTACAGCAATTTTAATACTTTTTAAATTCGCGACATTTGTACTTTCCATAGATTGAATTTGTTGAAATTTTCAAGTTTGCTAAATACTTTTTATTTACTCCTAAATATATTTTGTAAGTTGTATTGACTTTTGACCTAAGTCTTGGCTTGTTGACTTGTCTCTAAAATTGACTTTATCCAATTGTTGCCATGTGCGTCGATGATCGATTGATGATTACTAAGAAGGCCACCACCATCACTTTTATTAGTGGAAGCAGTTCGTTTTACAATGTACGGCGCAGTGTCAGGGTTAAGTCCGCCGATACAAATGGCATGTACATGCGCCGCACAATGCGAGGCGAGAGCCCAAGGCACTCCAGAACACGTCATTATCTAATTAAAGTCCGTTTGCCCAGACATGTAACTGAATTATGCTGGCGTTTAATGGAACGCGGGAGATTGCTGTGAATCACCGGCGGACCCTCGGCCGGGCTGCGCTGCCGCCCGCTCCCGGCCGCCCGGCGCGCACCACCGCCTGTTAGTCATCGTGCTCTAACTAATCGAGTAGTCGCACTCGCCTCGGCCAATAGCGGCCACAGCGTCCGTGATGTAATGCCGCGAATGGCGTAAGCGCAGCGCCCGTTAATCCATAACACTGATCCAGAAATACATTTTTATTTGGCCGGCCTTGATTCGCACGCGGCGTGAGAGCGCGTAAGGATTACACCGATGCACCCTGCTGCCTCGCGACTGTTCCCATCGATAATGCGAAATATTCAGTGTTTGTGCCAAGTTTGAGTGGGGGAAATATTTTATAAGTGCATCTGTGGTATGCTGGAATCATTCATTTAAAATGGATGAAGGCGGTGAGGTAAATGTTGCATGTATATTTACAGTGCGCACTATGTCTATGATTTAAGCAGCCTGTCTCCGACGCATTAGCGACAACCTGAACTCAGTCGTGGAGATAGCTCATGTTTCAGGTTCTATGTTGTGTTTACGTAGATAATGGAATGATGTTGATATTTGTCCGTTGGCACGACGCCAACTGGACAGTTTCCTTCGTTTTCCGTTTATAGCATTAATAATCGTATTATAACATTTTTATATTGTTGAATAAGTTAACTGTTACGTGGGCGATAATGTGAGCCATTAGCTCGTGGTTTATTAGGAGTGTTCTCGTGACTTGCCAGGTCCATATTGTTTTCACCAATTACTAACTAACCAATGGTTGATTTGGATATGTTTCCTCAATTTCAAATTTTAACTACGTTTTTAGTCTCAAACACTTACTTTTGATAGAAAGGTTTTTTTACTACTTAACTATTAGATTTGATTCTATGATGTTGGTATAAGCGCCGTTTATTAGTTCCTCGTTAGTATCTGATTCATTGGCTAACGTAATCTCAGAGAGTTTTATCTTTGCTCTCAGAAGATTGGAGATATTGTGCATAGGCAAGATGACGTGTTCTCCTTGACATGCACTTACCGTGTTCGTATATCTAATTAATGATTTAAATTGAGCTAATCAAGTAGAAAATTCTAATTTGGTGCTAACTTTGAACAGTTACCATCGTCTACATTCTTTGGCTTCATTCAATCTGTACAGATTTATTGTTAATATCGAAAACATGTTTTTTAAAGTAATTATGTTATGAACTGGAATAGCATCTTGATGAAGACAGACAATGATCTGTTTGGCTATTCCACAGAAATATTTTGTTAAGTAGCTGTAACATCATGTAACAAGTAAACTTTATTATCTTTCTTCTTGCTAATACTATAAATGCGAATGTTTACGTGATTTTTGTGCGAAGGTATCTCCGACACAACTCAACGGATCTTGATAAAATTCGGCACAGTTATAGCACATATTCTGAAAGAACACATATGCTACTATTTAGGTTTCTTTTAATCCCGCGCGGACGGAGTTGCGGGCAACAGCTAGTGATAAATAGTTTATTTAGTTTGTAACCACATAACGTATGCACTGTATGTTCATTGTACAATAGACTGGTCCCGCGCTTCGTTATGTAGCAGACAATCCCTCTCTAGGGAGTTTTCCCTGAATTTAAAGTGCTTATTTCATGAAACTGACGAGCCCCTGACATATTGTTCAGAACTTGTCTACTGCCATGTTAAATATGCATCAATTTACGTTACATATGAAAACACTGAACGTAAGCGTATCGTATGAAATTTACTTCTTTTAATTTTAATCTAAATGATCTCAAAATATACACCGCAAAAGAACGTAAGCTGCATATTGAACCGTCCACGTCGGGAATTACGCAAGTCCCGTTTGATAATTTTAATATTTTAAAAACTGCACAAATTTACAATAGTAAGCTTCAAAATGTAAGTTACATTTTACGTTTTTTTTACAAACTAGACAGAATATTGTAAAACAGACGACGCATATAATTTACGAAGTAGTGCGGGCCATCGTCCGCTGCCACACCCCAGTCTACTAATACCGAGGCGGTTCCAGGCTAATCAACTAAGTGCCACTTCCAGTGGCAATCCAGTCAACGAATCATATTTTTTATATCCAACTCCAATGTATCTGTATTGATGGTTATTTTTACTCAAGTTCTCGACCATCAATTTTTATATGAAGACTGGGCAGTGTATTCTACCAAATAAATTAAAGTTTTATATTTCGTCATTTTTTTTGTAAATAATACAGATAAGAATAATACCTAACGGTTGAATATAAAACTCCTCTCCTTTTGTCGTTCATTCATATTACATTCAATCATTCATTCGGATCGGTTCAACCCCTTTTTACGATTTCTACTCGTCCCAGAGTTGACCTCATCCAACGTAATCATTCAATTTAAGTGAATGAATAGATTCAATTTGAAAAATGACCAACTATAATTTGTATTTTGTCGGTCCGGTCAAGGTATCAAGTACACTATATTGTTGTTAATGAATCTTTTCTTCGCGTAACGAAATTTCCGTTGAATCGAATTTGACAAAATTATTGCATTCGACGAGTGAAACTGTGAAACAGCAAGTTATTTTTTTAATCATCCACAAAGCGTTAGATGTTATAAATCCGTTGTTTGCCTTATTTTTAAACAAAAGTCAAAGTAGCAATCATTTAAATAGATTGAGCTACGATGATTGTAAGCATCTGCAACTTGAAATACGGTGCCGACAAGTTGAATGTCTTTAAGTAGGAAGTAAGCTATTTCCTTTACGTTCGATCGAAAACATCCGTTGAGACGGATGTGAAGTTTACGTAAGTTTAACATTTTAATCCTCATGCTGCACTCACCGTTAGTTTCTGAGACCAAAATATCTGTATATGTCGTTATCCCTCTTATCGGGGATTTTGATCTCAGAAACCTACGCTCAGGCGTTAATTGTGCGCTTAAAGTGTTAAAAGTTCTCACACTAAATCTATATTAAAGATGACTCCAGGACTATAATTACCCTTTTTTAATTAACCAATGAATTTCGATATGAATCCTGAAACGTCTACTTAAGTCTATTAGTTAGTATGGCCAGCATTGTTCGATGCAATACATGTGTGATTGTTGTCGTCTCCGAACACCAAAATAATGAACCACAAGTTATTTTTAGCTATTTAAATCTGTACGTTCTTAATTTGTTGAACAATGAATCACTAAGGACTTGGTGAGTCCTCACAAAAAGGAAAACTAGGAGCTATTGCTTGATTTAAATGAATCTTAAGCGCCTTAGTATAGTTGTGGCGCTAAGAAAATTTATTTATTTATTTATTTGGTTCATCAACAAAAGTACATGTGTTATACTAAACTGATATATAAACACGGCTAAACACTCACGTATATTCGTCCGGTGGCGGTACCGCTATCAGTTTAGTATAATGTCTAAAAAGTGTTCTTATATATATTTTAGGTACTATTACAAAATAACTTTAAAATATTATTGAAAGCAACTTTATTTATAAGAGCTCTCGCTACAACAGCGCCATTATCGGATGGAAATTAAATCGAATATTGAACTATCTTATATTAATTAAAAGCGTTCCCGCTACAGCTCTCAGCTGGTTTTGACAGAAAATAGGTCACTGGTTATAAAGCATCGGAATTAATTATACAGCGACCGACGATGTTGAAAAATTCAAACAAAATGTATACATATTTATTACGCAAGATTTTTTTTATGAGAGACCTCAACTACTTTGACCTATTTTCGACGTTTTGAATCAACGTTATGATAAAATTGAAGCATCTCTTAAAGATTTATTATAAAAGTTTTTACTATAGCACAAGTCAACAGCATTCAAACCGAGCTGATAACTTACGACTACTTCATAATAGAGAAACATTTTGATTTATGGAAATATCGTGCTTAAAATATTTATTTTCGGAATATACAAAGCTATGTATCAAATGAATTACCCATTCTATATATTATTTTCATAAAAATATGTTCTCAAATAAGTATTGTATGTTGAAGAACTTATGGATGGAATCAATTAAAGCTTATATATGTTATCTGGTTTTCAGTTGCGTCACGAGCTAGAGCGCGTGGTGTCAGAGCGAGACCGGTTGCTGACAGAGAGCTGTGAGCTGGGCGCGGACAAGACGACGCGCGAGGCGGAGCGGGCCGCGCTGCGGGCGGAGTTGCGTGAGGCGCGCCAGCGGGAGCAGCGTCAGCTGCTGGACATCGCAGATCTAGAGGACGAGAACATCTCGCTGCAGAAACAAGTCTCCGCGCTCAGATCCTCACAGGTACGTGGATTGAACACAAACAAAAAACGGAGATTGTTTCACACCACATCTAGAATGCAATACAACCAAAGAAGAGAAGTCGACGTCATCATAACATAAAAACAATATTCTATAGTACCTTAGCTGGTAATTTACTTAACATTTTCAGGTTGAATTCGAAGGTCTTAAGCATGAAGTGCGTCAGCTTCGCGAGGAGGCGGAGAACGCCCGGGCAATGGCAGAGGAGACGGCAGCGCTGCGCCGTATTGCAGAGCGCCAACTGGCCGAGGCGTTGGAGGCGCTGCAGGCAGAGCGCGAAGCTAAGTTCGCCGCCAAGAAGGAACTCGATGCCCACCTCAGCAGAGAAGCTGCATATAACATTACTAACCTCGCCTACAGTATACGAGGTCTGTGTTCATAATAGCTTCCTATCTTACAGATACATACAGACTGTAGACATTTTCAATCTTCCTGTAATGTTTGTGGGAACTAGAAAGGTCAATTGTGTAGTATTTTGTTCTTTCCTCTCTCTTTTGGTAGCATTAATGGATGTAAGTTTCTTGTACTTTACAATAGTAATGTCATTTTATGTGTAGGTATGCCAGATGACAGCGCGGAGGAGGAGGGCGAGCCGGGCGGGTCATCGTCCGCGGAGCTGGCCACCGCGATGGGCGACCATCACGCAGATCTCTTCTCCGAGGTGCATCTGCACGAAATATCCCGTCTCGAGAAGCAGCTCGAGCAGGCGCACAATGAAAATGTAAGACATACGAATATAGAGACGATGTTCTATGTAAAATAGCATTTTAGAATGAATTAAAACTCACCTTCAGTGTAGATTTGTATGGATAAGCTACACTAAGACACTTCTTTACATTTATTTAATGACTGAGTGTAACAATAAGAGTTCTTTTCGATGAATAAATTTTACAAACGGTAATGCGTTATGTGACTTATTATTTGAGTTTTGTGTGTATTGCAGAGCCAGCTGACGGCGTCGATGCGCGCTGCGCAGGCGACGGCGGAGAGTGAGGGCGCGGCGGCGGGCGCGCTGCGCACCGGCCTCGTGCGCGTCGCCTCACGCGTCACCGCGCTCAACGCACTGCACGCAGACTGCGCACCTGCTGTCAGTACTTCTCCATTACCTACAGCGGCTTTTACCAACATATAACAATACTACTTATTTGTGTCTGAAAAAATGTATTTTCGTAACCAACTTTCGTCAACAATCTAGGTTACTTCAGTATGCCCCTAGTGTATTTCTCGAAATTAATTTTCTCTAAAGGTCTCCCGAAGTAAACAATTTAAGATGTGCGACAGATATTGCAATACCATTATTTCAAGCATAATATTTTATAATTCTTGATAGATTTTTAATTATTATAGGAAGAGAAAGAGGAGAAGACGGAAGGCGGTGTACCAGCTCGGGCAGCGCGGTGGCTGACGTGGTGGCGAGTGTCGGGCGGCGAGCTGAGCGCTCTTGCGGGTGCTTTGGCCGAGCTGAGTGCGGCGAGCGCTGCGCCCGGCTCCCCAGCTGCGCAGCAGCGGCAGGCTCTGGCGCAGCTCAGCGATCGCGTCGCAGAAGCGGAACTGCGCTGCGCAGCGCTCGAGGCTGATGCGGACTTGTTGCGTACACTTGCCGGAGGTATGTCCACATAAATACATAGTGTCATAAATATATGGCTAACACATTAAATAAATAAAAAAACGCAATGAAATGATATCTCTTCGGTTCATAATAAGAAAACCGAATTTGTTTTCGTAAGGTGCTGGACGTGCGCTGGCGAGCGCTGCACCTGCGCTGACGTCGGCGGCAGAGACGCTGGCGCAGCTGTACCACCACGTGTGCGCAGTCAACGGCACGCAGCCCGAGCGGCTGCTGCTGGAGCACGCCGGACACCAGGACGGTACGTAGTTTAGAACATTTGATTAAAATTTAACAGATCTATCGCAATAAGAATCGTAATAAATGATTTACTGTTAAATTTTTTGAAATTCAATAATGTTGTAAAATGATTGTTGTATTGTGTGCAGGTGCGGGTGCGGAGGGACGCAGCGTGGAGGAGGAGGCGCTGGCGCTGGCGGCGGGCGAGCTGGAGGGCCTGCGCGCGGCGGGCGTGGTGGCGCGGTGCGCGGACACGCTGCTCGACCAGCTGACACACCTTCGCGCCGCACTCGACACCGCGCTCGACTCCCGCCTCAGGCACCAGCCTGGTACAACATATTTACTATTGTATATTACTAACAAATATTCACAAGCCGTTGCTTGTAATATAATGAAATGGAAGATGACTGATACTGTCACACTCTAAGTGGTCTCCTTAGGGTCTATTTAGTGAGAGAAAATTCCACTGAGTGATCAAGTAAACAAAATCACTATATAAAATACATGTTTATCTCTGTTATGTCAAATAATGAGGGGGATGTCGATATGGTTTATACAGAGATTTTGGTCCCAGAAACCAACGATTAGTGACTTATTGTCTGCCTTACTGTGATTTTAACGTAACATACCAACATCAAGATACGCTCTCCGAGCTATTTCTCATCTCTTCTTTAAGTAACTACTGATATATGCAAAAGGTAAACAAATTTAAGAACAAAAATAAATTTCGTATAATACCTTGTTTCCGTAGCTTCAAGGTCCAGTAAGCAAAATATTCCATCTGATGATTACAGTAAAATACACAAAGAACATTACAACAGCAAACTAAAGGAGGATGCTAAAAGGAAACTGCAACAATTTATTATACAATCCACCATATTATATATTCAGAATAAACACAAATCTGAAGTTCCAAATGAAACAAATTGTTCGCGGAAAAGTGTTAAGGAAATAACCGAGTACTTTGAAAATATAACAAAACAAAATAATAACATTATCAATGACAAATGTAAAACACATCAAGTTGACATGGACACTGCTGTGCCCACGAAATATCAAAGAGAAAGAAATAAAATATATTTCAAAAGAAATTTAATCTGTCGCAAGCCTCAAGGAAACAAAATAATCAGTAAAATTGAACAATGCGATTACGAAAACATATGGAGAGATGATATTTTATATGGAAATATATTACATTTTAAAAGAACTGAAACTTTTAAAACTAATGATAACGTACTAAGCAACATAAGACATTCATTGAAAAATAGTTTCATAGCTTGTATGTTACTGCTTCAATATGTTATGTGATACTAAACTCCAAGCTTATATACATGTAAGATAAAAACTAACATAATGTAGATTGTAATTATGTATTGGTTCTTGTCGTAGTGTAATAAGTACTGTAGACTAAAATATATCGAGTTTCATGTTTTATTTCCCATAGGATTCGCTTACATTTTAGTTGTATGACAACGTAATATGAATATGTATGTAAAAAAAATGTCTATTCATTGTTTTGTTAGAGTTTAAGTATAAAAATATATTTTTTTAATTAATAACAAATAATTTGGTAAAAATTGATAGTCATTAAAGTATATACAATCTTTGAAAAAAAAAAATCATAAGTTAATTCATGTTTTTCTGTTCGTTCTTTTCAGTGATGGAGGGCGAGGAGCGAGGTGCGGAAGTTGGCGAGTTACAGGAACAAGTGATCAAACTGAAGTCTCTCCTGTCTACGAAGCGCGAGCAGATCGCGACATTACGCACCGTACTCAAGTCCAACAAGAACACGGCGGAAGTCGCCCTCGCCAACCTCAAGTCCAAGTACGAGACGGAGAAGACCATCGTCACAGAGACCATGCTCAAGCTGCGCAACGAGCTCCGGCTGCTCAAGGAGGATGCTGCTACATTCTCCAGTCAGTACCAACTCTTTACCTTTCCGATTATAAGATCGCTTTTATTTAGATGAGTAGATTTTATTTGAGTTTTTATCTGTGTCTGAGTCAGGTCTTCGCGCGATGTTCGCCGCTCGGTGCGAAGAGTACGTGACCCAGGTGGATGAGCTGACACAAGCGCTAGCGAGCGCGGAGGACGAGAAGAAGACCCTCAACCAGCTGCTGCGTCTCGCCGTGCAGCAGAAACTCACTCTCACGCAACGCCTCGAAGAGCTAGAGGTACTCACTCTGTTCTGTCGTATTATATCTTGTGGTGGACCAAAACTGCCTGTTATATTTCTAAAAATAATATTGAATTGCTTTCAGGTGGACCGCGAGATGCGCACGCGGCGCGTGCCCAAGTCTGCTGGCACTGCACGCGCGCGACCGCGAGACTTCTAGCGGCTCGTGCTGGCGCTGAAGGCCGCCGCGGCCGCCGTGCGCGCGCTGCTGCGCCACGCGACGCGCGCGCCCTGAATCGCCGGCACATAAACATACACTTCTACGAATTTATAGTGTCAGAGCGGCCGCGGCTGTCTCAGTGGTGAAGGACGCTCGAACATCTGACCGCAAGTGCACGGAACCGACCGTTGAATCTGATCTACGTGCTAAAAGACTTCCCGATCGCGTTCAGCAGCTTTGATATAAAGCGAATGCTGAATAACTAAATACTGTTGTACTACGTTGTGATGAACGATTCGATTGCAACAGGCCAATGTTTCGACCTCGAGTTAATCTGAACAGATGTTCTATTACATTGTAGTAGTGTTATCGTATCTTATGCGTTGTGTTACATGTACTAGTGTTAGGGTATCGTTGTGGTGACGGTGACTCGGACGAGCCGCCCGCTAGCGACTCGTCAACGTTTTTTCTATTTGTGGTTGTAAGGAGACTAAATTATTTATACCTTTTATAAATGTAATTGTAATTAATCGTACCAATAATGTAAACGGGGCTCCGCGGCACCTGACCGATGAGCGAGAGCTGTGCGCCGCGCCGCGACCCTCCCCGGCGCCGTGAACCGTCAAACTGTGCGGCGGCGCGCGCGCACACGCCCACATGCCTGAACACCACGCCCACAATACAACTCTAAATGGTAAACAAAATATTGAGGTTCGAGTACACTTCACCTCAGCAATAAACATGACTCATTCTTAATAACTGGCGTTATTCTAAAGAAAGACTTTAGGCATAAAAAATGTAGTAAAATTTTAATGTATTTGATGCGATTAGTACGAATTTAAATAATAAGTTTACACGCACTGTTCTTTAATTAAAGAATAATCGCGTAGTTAACTGTTACCTTTAAGTAATTAATAATTAGAATAAATTAATCGTTTTCTCATCATTTCAGCCATTAAATGTTAACCAGATGTTAGAGGTGAAGTGTTTACAAGACTAGGAAACATGTGAGTTTTGTGTTTCTATAACATGAAGGGCAGTGGATGTGGGCAGTGGGTAGCTGGTAAATCGCCCTGAGGGTGTGCGGAGCCCCGCCCTGTGTAGTTGGTGTTATATGACTGTTGACTGATTTTAATGGCGAGGAGGAGGCGACCGGGCGGCGAGCGTTGTTGTTATTGTGCTCCGTCCGGCGCCCACACCTCCCCGCCCCTCACACCGACACCCCTCCGTGGAGAGGTCACGTGAGACGTATCGCATTCCCTATTTTGTCTATCGCCCTTATCACAATATTTTGATATTACCGAATTTCCTCGTACCTACGTCTACTGCACTACGCCAAATTAATGTTTAACGAATATTTTTGTAATTGTATCGGTGTATTTTATTACGCGAACGCATTCGGTGCCGTCGCCCGCAGGCCACGCCCCTCGCGTGACGGCCCCGCCTCGCACCGAACAACGGAACCGCGCAACGTTATTTTTTAATTATATACACATTTAATAAGCGATGCGAGGTTCGCATAGATTATACACATTCTGTTATCCTTTATCGATACGAATGTCTAGTACGTCCATGAAAAAATCTAAAAAAAAACATATTCGTCGATTTCCATCCATTGAGTGCGCAAAAGACTATGTAATCTGTTCTAGTTGTTATTCTCTAGTTTGTTGTGTTGTTGTGGCCCTCCGCCGAATACTTTCGTCCATCTTGTTCTAGTTATATTCGTAGTATTTCCGTATTATTTTTGTTCTGTTAAAGTAACGTCGAGGCCGCTGCGATCTATATCGAACTTACATATGGTTCGGTATCAAAGAAAGGTCTTCCTATTCCCAGTATTTGTACTCAACACAACAGAGAGTGCTTGCAATAGCAACTTTTGGGTCGCAGCCGGCTCGACGCGCTCTGCCGTCCTGTGGCGTCGCCACGCGCGTCCACTTCTTGTCCAAGAGCCGGTCGAGCCTACACACACACACACCGCGTACGTCCACGTACACACACACAGGCATACAAATGCATCACAACGAAATAGTCATATCACAAATGTAAACGCGTCCTGATTTGCTCAAAGTTTGCTCACGCGCAGCTCGACCGGCGCTATAATGATAAGACAAAATTTACAAGAGATTATTAAAGTGTTACGAGGTATTATTAATTATTATTATTTACGTTATGGTATGTGATGTTTGCAGCTTCCCGTGATAAGATTGCGTGAAACCGGTGGATGACGTAGTCGTTTATCTTTTAGTGTCTACTGGACATAGGCTAGTTGAACCGTTCCATGTAGCGCGGGCACTCGCCCTTCTTAGATATTTTTACTTGTTTAGGATTAGATCTAGTTACTACATTAACCTTCAAGTATACTTCTTAGGTAGTGACCGAGGCGCCCTCTCGAGGCGCGTAGTGAAATTATTTGCAATATTATACTACGTAGGGTATGTTTCGTTTGGCATAGCTGGGCGCGGCGGGTCGGCCCGCGACCGCGAGGACCACAGCATTGCATTTATTGTTTCTAGATCGTATTACCTAGCTTATTCGTAGAATCGTTCTTCTCGTACTTAAACTACTTACAAATTGATTAGTATTAAAATGTATTATTTTTTGTTTTTTTTTCTGACATTGTTTGTCCTAGCTTAGCATCAGACACCGACAGCGCGTCATGTCTAGTCAGGCAGCGTTGTGATTCAGACGGAAGCATCAGGGACATTGCCTTTGTCCTCAAGTCTTTTTTCATATGGTCGTTTTTTTTTCAATGCATTAATTACTTTACTCACTGTCAACGGTGATTGTTTACGCAATATTTTGAGTATTTATTTTTGCAATGTACTTTTAGATTTAGTTAAGGTGCAATTGACTATATGATAAATGCGACGAGGCGAGGCTTCGTCGCATTTTCCCATATTATAATTTTTTTCAGTATTTCATTAGCTTGGGCAAAACCGCCGGATGCGTCGCCCAGTGGCGCCATCTGCAGCGATTAACCAAATATTTTCTTTATATAGTTTATATATAACAATTTAGATGACTTTATTTGTCTAGTTATAGTTATTATTTTATATTATAGAAGAATTATGTGTTATTATTATTTAAATATTGTAAAGTATATGATTGTCCGCTACTTTGTATCGCAGAATCGAAGCGCTCGACAATTTGAAGCATGAATGTTCCCATTTGTACTTTGGTTCTATTTGTAATTAATTAGCTGAGTAATGAGTCGGTTGTTGTCTCGCATCGCACAGTTTGATGGTTCACTCTGCACATCACGGCACCTTACCACCTTCAGTTGCAAGATGGCCACATTATTGTTTTCCAGTTTACAACGGCAGTATTCATCAGATTACATGTCTTCGCATTATTCAATCTCATTTATCGTAACTCATGAGCTTCTGAAAGTATAAAACAAAGTTGCCTACATATTTAACTATTTGAATATTCAAGGACAGATGCAATGAACCGGCCTTGGGAACATATCATGGCTGAACTAAAGCGTATTTATTTTCAATGTATTGGGTAACTCAGTGTTGTCGCAATGACTGATTTGATTCATGTAACAGAAATAATAAATGATATATTTAATTCTTGTCTTTTATATTCAATCCTTCAGATAGGCGTATGTCTATGTGCAACGGTCGCTTCGCTATTTCAGCGATTTTAGGTGGCCGCTCGCTCGTTTGCCAACTATTAAAATAAAATAAAAAAAATTACGGCCGATGAGATAAATGGAGCAGAACCTCCGTAGTGAATTAAAAATGCAATTTATAAATCCAATATTTATTTAAATGCACAAAGTGACAATGAATTTCCTTATATAAATATAAACAATAACCACAACTGAATGATGTGCTATTTATTTACATTTCAGTACTTATTTTTTGTAATAAAAATTGCAACATTAAGTTACTAAGTAAGCGGTAAAAAAAACTTGATTCAATCCGTACAGGTGCTAGTTCGTGAAACGTTAAAGATGAAATGTAATGTAAACCCGTATCGCAAATCATCTCTCCGCATAGCCACGAATAAATGTAATTATTTTTTTTATTAAGATACATATAAAATTAATTCAAGTGTTCAATACAAAAATGGTAAAGTGGAAGTGATATTTGCCGTGCGTTTTCATTGCCGAAACACATGTAAAATAACAATATAGTTTTTTCCAAAGAGAATAAAAAGTCGTGAATACTTGTTTGTACGTGTTTCGGCAATGAAAACTCATGTACACTCTAAATAAATGCATTTTTTACGTCATGTGTTGGTGCATCTTAATAACATCAGATAAATTGAGCATTACATAATGTAGTAAAAATGTACGTAGTGTATAGTAAGCGACAATTAATATCATTGAAAATGTACAAGGATCAAAGGTCTAAATAAATAGACAGACAGACATTCACATTTGGTTAGTTTTCATAATAATTGTATCAATCGATTGGAAAATTTCACAATTGTTAATAATTTCGATACGTATTTTGTAAAGATATAAATGCAAATTAATTTATTCTTACATATCATATGAAAGTCGATACAAGAAAACGAAATCATCATCGTTCTTCATTCTAGTATTCATCATAAGGAACGCATCAACGGAACGTAAGGCTTACGAAAAAAAGGACTATTTTATTAAACTTAAAATAACGTTACAAGTAACTCGAATGAACATTGGTGAAAAAACTACAATACTTTTAACGAACTATCTTTACCTTACCAAACTAATTACCTTTAAGCCTATATAAAAAACGGCTAAACATTCACGTATATGTGCCCTCGGAACTTTGAACAGCAACACCACAGACGCTTTGGTACAACATCGTCGACGACGCCAGCGGACCCCGCGCCCTAAGTGCGTAGGCGCATAGTAGGCTGAGGGTCGCGTCCGCGAAATAATACCAGTCCTACTCACCCTGATGAAGGGCCCCCGATGGACTCGAAACTAGTCGGTGCCGCCGGACGAATATACGTGAGAGTTTAGCCGTTTTTATATATAAGTTTATTATAATGTCTCACGAAAGTTTGAATAATTTAACACGTTTAAGCTATAGATATATAACCTATAGGTCATAAAAGTAAGGCCAAAAAGGCCATTGTCATTTGTTGAAAATGACATCGAAAATAAACTCCATTATACATTAAAATTGTATAAAACACCACATCTATATTTTATATATCTATTCCTTTAGCTTTATATGAAATGGCAAGAAGCATATCATTTTGTCACATTATGTCTCACCGTGGATTTCCACTACAGAAACATTCAAACAAAAACATCTCTCACGTCTAAATGCATATAAATGTACTGAATAAGGGATTCATAAATGGTGTACCATCAAATACGTATTAGTCTCCAATCAGCTATAGTTCCCAAGTATACGTGTAACTAAGGCTCAGCGCAGACGGGCGACCGACCATAGCCACCGGGGGCCAGCGACCAGTAGTTCACACGATTTTTCATAAATTAATTTATGAAAAATCCTGTAAAGTCGCTGGCCGCTGGCTGTGGTCGTTCGCCCGTCTGCGCCAAGCCTTAGTTACACGTATACTTGGGACCAAATAAAGTGGTTACCATCATTGTATATAGTTTGCATTTTGATTAAAAAAAATTAAATGCTATTAACTAGAAACAATCGTATCACAGTATGTTATATAGAAGCTTACTGCACTCACAGGTCTTACCAACCCGCTGAGTAGGCCAGGAGTGGATAGATGCGCGCTAACCTTAGTCGCTTAGTGTAACTTAACGACTCTGAGAGTGGCAGTAGACAGAATAATATTTACATATCTTACATAAGATTGAACGACAAAGAAAAAATGTAATTGCTATTCATATATTATAACATTTTTGTGGCGGAAATTGTCATAAATGTATGCCTTCTTGCAGTCAATATGTGAAAAGTTAATGACTAGAAGATAAAATTAAAAGCGAATTATATTAAACGAACCGCAAATGATAAAATGAACCAAAAGATACGTTCTTTTTGGTATTTTCTAAATATTGGTACACATTGTGTCTACGCACAACATAACAAGCTTTTATTTTCACTTATTTTGACTTTGGCACTGCAAATAAATTAAGATAAAAATAAGGAAATAACCAAATTACGATTATGATAAAAATGCAATTATAACATCAAAAAGTGAACTAATACTCGTGCAATAACATGAGACCTGAACCTGATGACGTCACAACTTAAATTTACTTGTATACACTGTATACAAAGTTAACGTATTGAAATAATCTAATGAGTATAAAGCAATATAGTGTTTGAGTGTATCATGTTATTGCGCATGCTTAGTATATTAGTTAAATACATATACGTAAAGAGTAAATACGTATTGATTGAAATTAAATATTAAACTGTTTACAAGTTATTTTCATATTATTTTAAAGTAGGAGTATGTAATATTATTTAAATTTAAAATGTCAAACATGATTGTTTTGTTTTAATTATTAAAATTTTATTTCATACCATTTTTTTTGCATCGCACTATACATATGGCGGTAACTTCGTTATATTAACTTGTCTTACACTAAATACTTAATTTTTTTTCATTTATATTTTAAGAAAAATTAAATTATGGATACACTATTAGAAACATAATTTTTTTATAATAATAATTAGGTATATCAAGGTAACGAATCATGTTATGGAAATAAAAAATAATTATATTGAGAGATGAAACTTTCAATATTTTATAATACAAAAACAAAAAAATGTACAACTTTAGTCTACGCTCGAAATTATTACTTGCATTGAAATATGCGCATTGTACATTTAATAAATTATACAGTAAAACAAAGCAAAATAAACCTTATTCCAATTAAATAAGATCTAAAATAAATGTAATTTAATGCCTCATTGACCATAAATTTACCGAATCAGAGATAATACGATACAATAATGTCATCAGTACGTTTTAACCATTCATTCCTCCAAAGTCGGTGACTTCCTTTGCATTTTGCTTCAACTGAAAATTATAAATAAAAGTCAATTGTTGAGTACTTCTAAAGTTGTTGACAAATTAAAATATCACCTAGTTAAAATCATAATTTAACATTAAGACATAACTGATTCATAAAAAGATTTTGTTATCCCGAAAAATATTATTAAATCATGTGATTCCTACTACCCAAAAAAATATATGCCGGTATGACGAGGTCTCACCTTGCCCGCCTTAGAGTGCGATGAGGTCGCCAACGTCAGCGCGCGGCGGCACCGTGCTGGGCCGGAAGTACGTGCACAGGCGGTCGTAGAGACGCACACGAGCGTCGCGCGCCGCCCACCCCGCCTCCTCCTCCTCCTCACTGGCCGCGCCCTCACACGCCCCGCCCACTTCGCCCACGTCCCACGTGTCCGGCGTGGGCGGGCGCACTTCCTCGAACGGCTGCGGCGAGTCCAGGCACGAGTCATCCGCGCCTAGCACCTGCTTGAATTACGTCATTTTTAGTCAAAGTTTGTTAAGTTAGTATAGTAAGAGTTGTGTGCCATATTACCGCAGCGAGAGCGTGCGCGAGGTCCGCGTGCGGCGTGCGGCGAGCTCGGCGGCGGGCCAGCGTACGCGTGCGGTGCGGCGTCAGTGCGCATGCGGCGTTCCACTCCGCCGGCGGGCTCGTGAACAGCGCCGTCGCCAGTTTCTGGAACTGTGACACCTGCAACGACACATTAATCGATTATTAAGTATTTTGTCGTGTCTTTTTTTCTTTCTCGTCTTTATTTATTTAAATATAATAGAATCAAAGATTTAAAAAGAATGAGTCGATGAGTTATGTGACCTGTGCGGGGTCGCAATGGTCGAGCGCAGCGCTTAGATCGTGCCGCAGGTAATGTAGGGCCTGCGGACGCAGCTCCGGCGCGGCGGCCATCTCGCGGTAGTGTGCCTCGCGCAGGGTGGCACGGAGAGCGCGCCACACTCCGCCGCGAGACACGCGCCTCAGTCGCAGCGCCCACAGGTCGTCCAGCCGCAGCCGCGGGCTGGCCGCCGTGCCCGGATTGCCGCCGAACAGGTAGTGGATCTGCAAACATGCGTAAACACTTAAAAAAAGACTTTATGTGACATTATTATAATGCCAAGGTAAAGAAAAATGCGTTAAGAAATGTTATGTATGATTCAAAAACAGTCGGCACCTTCCTAACAGGATCGTAGACGAGCTGGTGCGCAAAGCGTGGGCGTGGCTCCGCGGGGGTGACGCTGTCGTTGCGGTACACGCACGTCCACGTCATCCGACGCAGCGAGAACACCCACAGCGAGTTGTACACGCGCTTGTCTTTCTCCTTGCTCATGCCCTATAACAAATACACGCACAGAAAATTAATGAACTCATCAGTGCTAGAAAGATGAAATGGCCAGTTAGGGTCTAACGCATGCCTACGGAATTATCCGTATCCATATGTTGTTGTGTGCGAACATACCGAGAGCACGAACATCTCGTCAGTGTCGGGATCGAGCGTGGCGCGCTGGGTGAAGCCGGCGGCGGGCGGGGGGCAGGCGGCGGCGCCGGCACACAGCGCACCGCACCGCCCCTCGCCCACGTCCCACCACCACAGGTCCAGCAGCTGCTCCTTGTTGCGCTGCCCCGCGAACATGTACAGGCGACGCTGCACCTGCACATATCACAATATCATAGGTAAACAACGCAAATAAGATCCGTGTGGAAGTATAAACCTATCGACAGCGACAAAATGTTGTAAGAACGTGAAATAAGGAAACTTGTTTAACGAGTACGTTGCGTGTACGTGGGCGTATGTACTTACTGGATGGAAGAGCATGGAGTGAGAGACGCGCGGCTGCGGTGCGGGCAGCTCGTGCCGGTCAGCCAGCAGCTGCTGCCACGTGTTGCTGCTGATGTAGTACGCGTACAGGCCGGAGTACTGCGGGCTCACCAGCTCCTCGCTGAAATAACATTACACGTTACGCCAAACACAAAATAAAGTTTTAAATTCAAATCAATAGCACGTAAGATCATTAAATTGTTTCTCGATTGCAGTAGAGTTAGTCAAATCGGTGGGACCCAATAGCGTAATACGGCGCAATTAAAATTCATAGAAGTAATCAATTAGCAATAACTAAGAAAATGATTATAGTATATGACATACGTGTTAGAGGGCAGCACTCGTCCACCGAAGACGTATATGGTCTGCGTGTCAGCGTCGAGACACATCTGGTGGTCGAAGACGAGGCGCGGTCCCCCCGCCCCCGCCGTGTTTGCGCACGCCAGAGACCACGCCCCCGCCGACACATCGTACACGTACAGCTCGCTCTGACACATACAACTAAATATAAAACTATGAATTTGTGAAACAACAACTTATTCAAGGTCAAAATCAATTTTCAGTCAATCCCAAACCAGATGTAATGTTTGTGGACAGGTCCAGGGTTTATTTTGTCTACAGCAAACTGAGCTTTTGGTTTAATAGTATATTTTACTGTATTTTTGAATATAAATATATTATTTTAAATTTTTATTTTATAATGTTTGGATAGCAACGGGATTAAAAGGTAATCGTTAGCTAAACGAGTCCTTACATTCATATTGGCTGGCACTCTCTGAGCATTGTCGAGGTACCGTCCGAGCGTGTATAGGCGATCGTTGACTGGATCGAAGACCATCTTGTGGCAAGACCTAGGTGAGGGTCCGCCCACCTGGCTGCTATGTCGGCACAGCAGCGACCACCTCTCCTCACCCGTGCTGTAGCTCCACAGGTCGTCCAGGTCCTCCGTACCGTTCCATCCACCGAACAAGTATAGAGTACCTACATATATAAATAAGTAGGTATATCTATTTCACCTTTTTATATAAACGCAAAGGCGTAAGCTGAAAAATTACTGAAAAGCTGATGGCAGCTTAGTTAAGCTTCGCCCAGTAGCCAAAAATTGCTTTTTTTTTCTTTATAAATACTCGTTTTTGATTAAAACATTATTATATGTCGAAAGTTGCCTGTAATTAAATTTAATATCAGCTTGTTATCTAGAAGTATAAGAGACCTGTGTTGGTGTCGACGACTAGCTGGTGACCACCGCGCGGTCCGGGGCGCGCCGTGCACGCTCCCCCGCACCCCGCCTCGCACGCATCCGCACCCTCCACCCCCGCCGCACCTGCCCCTACTGCCCCGCCGTTCAGCAACTCCTGCCAACACAATCAATTCATTGTGTCTACTATATTATAATATGCAAAACATTAAGACATGTATACATATTATTAAAATTAGATTATCTATATAAAACAACAAAAAAACAATTTTTTAATGTTTGTCTGTCCGTCCGCAAGACTACGTTTGTTTCAGGTAATCACCAGAATGGCTGGACCGGTAAGTTAGCTCATGCACGCGGGCATATTATAGGTTTTTTTTCCTGCGCTGACAAAGTCGTGGGCGACCGCTAGTTTTACACATTTATATAAAGAATTAAGGGATTTAGATAGTTACAGAAGAGTTGTAATAAGATCTTGCAGTGTTAACTGGCAGCTCCATTCGGGGCTCGCGGTCCGCACACGCGAGCTCGTGTGGGCGAGGGCGCGGCGTGGGCGGCACGTTGTCTCCGCAGCACAGCCGCGCCTCCACCGCCGCCGAGCAAGGCGACAGCTGCCTCCATTCCGGTTGGTATGGCTGCCATGACAGGTACCAATCCATCTCACCCTCTAGATAACAAAAAAAGAAAATTAACATTTTTTGTTAACAATTTTATAAAACCGTTCATTTTATCCTTACCATTCATAGCCTCTTCTAAAATCTCTTCAGCTAACTTGTAGTCTCCGTTTTCGACCAATGCATTCCATAGCCTGGACTGTGTTGGTCCTTCGAGCTGGACGCCGCTTTCCCTGGATAACGCTTCGAACGCGTCTTTGTACCGTCGCCGGCGTAAATGCTTCAACAGTATACGAACTGCCTCTTCCTCTTTACGCTTTAAAAAAATAGTAACAATCAATGATTGTTGACAAGGTCTTTGCCGACAATATTATAGTAGAACATACCAAGTTGAAAGTTTCCATGGCATTCTGGACCAGATCTTCTTGATTTGTGCCGTGCAATTCGACATACCATATGGTATAATTGTAAGCCGGACCCCAAGAAAGTAGGGGAACAATTTTGATGTACTGCACAGGCAAGTAGAGTCCTTCCGTAGTTCTATTCCTGAGTTTGAAAGTCTCCGGTGCACTATCCTTTTTCAGACCACTGCAATAATTCAAATTTTTTTAAATTTTCCTACTAAAATATAGACAACAGTGTTATTTCATCTACTAGAATTAGATGGATTTTTCGTTTCTTATTTATTAAAGCTAGGTTATAAATAGGAACCTAGAATATTCGCGGGCTACTTCAACCAGGAAAATATAAAAAGATGTAATATAAACATTTGTGGTATTAGTGAAATGCATTGGAAGGGAAATGGTCACTTTCACACCGAAACAACACAGTATACTTCTCCGAAATGACTACAACAGCAGAAGAAGGTTATAACCTATTTTTTTTTACCGGAAAGAATTAAGATATATAAAATGCTACAAGAAAAATAATACATCTACAAATTAATTTGATCACATTGTTTAGTTATATACAATTAAAGAAGTTGATTGTTGAAACATAAGAAAATGTAACAATTCTCCTACATTTTGATGACAAAATCATGTCTTCAATGGAAATAAAATAATATAATAAAACACTTGATTCAATAATGTCAAAACCTTTTCAATTCAATACTCTACATATTACATTGCAAATAAAATTAACAATAATGGAAATTAAAGTGATTTAAAAGTTATAGTATATAACATTATTGGTGGCTCAATACACCATTAACAAATTACTATTTTTAAAACCAAAACAACTAATAAAAATAGACACTTAACAATTCAATCTAATTAATGTTGACTTTTGGATATAGCCATTAACCTATGATGATAATGTTTTGATGTGATGACATATCCTAATTAAACATAAATTCCATTAGCTTAATTGTAGGCTAGTGACCAAAGCAACAATAACATCTGTTGCACCACACAGAACACAGGCATGAAGTGGAAACAGTTCTACATTTTGATAAGTGTGTATATCCAGACTATGTTCAACATCCATGCTAATTTTAAGCAAGATCTGTTAAAACATCCAACATATTGCATTTATAATATTAGTAAGATAGAAATAATCTTTACTGTATAATTCCACTACACTGATACTCATCTTACTAATATTATAAATGTGAATGTTTGGATGGATGGATGGATATTTGTTTGTAGATATCTCTAGAATGGCTGTACAAATCTTGATGAAATTTAGCATAGATGCAGAGAATAGTCTTGAAGAACACATGGGGTAACTAGTAATATATATATATATATATATAACATCCCTTTTCAACTCTATTAAAACAGGTTAATCCTACAGTTACACATACTAAGTATACTTACGCTGATAAAAGTAGAGAAAAGTTATTTTCATCCGTTCCACCAAACACTTGAAACTTCTTGAGATCACTCACATGTGGTTTTAAATATTTACCAAATATTATAGTGTCTACTATTGACAAGGATTTTAACTTGAGGATAATATATTGTGGTTGCAGCATGTTGGCATTTGAACTGTCCGTAAACCATCTTGATAATTGATCAGAGGGGTTGTTAACCATGATGTTTCTAAAAAAAAACAGTTTCATTACTAAAAGCTATCTAATGACACAGAAAATTACTACACACAAATTAAACAAAAACCAAAATATATAATTTTCATAGTTTTACCTCTTAGCAATGGTTTTGGTTAGAATTGTTTGGTTGTATATGATTGTTACATAAACATATAAATATAATCACAAAAGAAGAAAATAGATTTGATATACCACCAGTGACATTGTTATTGTTCAGTTTTGAACTATAACATGGCTTTGCAGTAATAATTCAAAATAAGAATAAAATATACAGTGCAAAGTCGTGATAGTTTTGATTTTTTTATTTCCTGAATACAAGCATCGATTTTTGTTTTTGTTTAAATGCGTATATGTATGTGTGATTTTATGTCATTGTAAAATTCAGTAGTTTCCAATCTTCTGATACTTAAGGTACTCCCCAATAATAAGATTTCCTATAAAACATTCCCTAATTATGTACTTCTGTAGCTAAAAATAAACAAAATAAATACCGGGAAAATGGAATTAATTAAACGCATATAAGAATAAAATGTAAATACATACTGAGGGACATAATTCGCCGAATAGCTGGAGTATTTATGAACTGCATAACATAATTTAACGGATTCATATTTCTCGTCCATATCCATATCGCCGCCTTTTTAATTAAATAGCACTATTTTCATATCACAATTACAGAATTCACATCTGACAACTAACTGACAGCAGCAGCCAAAGAGTATATAAAATAAGAGACGGGACTCTTGACTAATTAGATACACAAACGGAGAAAAAAAATTGTCATTTTCAATGCAAACAATATTATGAACAAGTCTACGTTGCTACCAACCTAAAAAAATCAATCTGTCAGTTTCCTTTTTGACGTTTAAAGTATTATTCGAGGGAAAACAATTTAGGAAAAATAAACCATTTCGTTAATTGCAACTTTAATTTAATCTTCTGACTAAAGCAAACATATTTTAAGAACGCAACATAATACTCACTGCTTTCGTAATAATAATAATAATAAATCTTTAATTCAGACACATGGTCCATACAAAACAAAAATACAAATTAAACACACTAGCACAAAAATTAAATAAAACAAAATTCTTTAGGGCACATGTAGACGTGTCCACATGGCCAGCACTGGACAGTCCAATCCCACTCTATCAACAATGAGTTGCAGGTAGCTGTTGGTGCTGTGCCGCACCCGCCGCATCAGGGATGCTGCTCTCTTCCTGATTAATGCAGCGAATCCGTCAACACCAGCATCAGCAAACATCCCAGACGCGCTGCAGAAGCGCGGCAGCCCCAACAGAGCCCTGAACTCATTGTTGTACTGAACCCGCAAGGCATTGTAAGCCCTTTGCGAACGCTTGAACCATAGGCTGCACATATAAAGGGACTGACAGTAGGCTTTAAAAAGTGTAATTTTCACGGGTGTAGTATGGAGATCAACTTACGAAGACCGCTCAACGATGGGCTCAGCAGTATCATATCATCGGCGTAGCTTATATTATTTATCATGGTGCCATCTATGGAACAGCCTATACCAGTACCGCTGAGCTCACGGATCAATCCATCCATATAAAGGTTAAAAAGTCTGGGTGATATCAGCCCCCCTTGCCTCAACCCCCAGCTCAATCAATCTATACTCATCCGATACCGCCCCATCCCACTTAACATAATTGGTTTGATTCGAATACCAGCACTTTAATAGAGATATGAGCTCGCAAGGAAGGTCTGTGTCGTCAGACAGTTTCTGCCACAATTTATTATATTGGACCATATCAAATGCCTTTGATAGGTCTAGGAAACAGGCATATACGGGAGTATTTCTATCAGTGTAGTACTGGACAGTATTTTTGAGTGTTAAAATTGCTGTTTCAGTGGACAACCCAGGTTGGAAACCAAACTGAGCGTCGTGTAGCCTAATATGTTTCGATAGTTGTTCATCAAGCACCCTGTCCAGCACCTTCGCTATGACTGTAGCGAGTGATATAGGTCGATAGTTACTCATTTTAGACCACCACAGTACTCATCAACCCCGCAGGCAGGTACTCATGACCAATACAGAAGGTGAACAGCATGGAAAGCACCCTGGGCATGTGAACCCCAGCATAATGCAAATGTTCTATACTAAGAGAATCATGCCCAGGTGACTTACCCCGCTTCATGTCCCTCAACACCCGTGCTACCTCTTTTGACAGAACCAACCTAACACTTTCCCCCTCGCTTTTGCTGCGGATCATATCAGAACTCGCAGGCACTGATACACCCTGCACTTGAAAATAATTCTTAAATGCGTTAGCAATCTGAACAGGATCATGATTACCCTCTACATTCACATGGATGGTCGGCTTTGGATTCAATTTGTTAGTTTCTTTCCAGAAAACACCAAAATTTTTATCCCGATGTTGTGCCGCTATGATGTCCATTTTAATTTGCGATTCATTATTTTGACACCACTTAAGTTTTTTCTTAAAAATAATCCGCGAGTGACGCATTCTGTCATAAACTTGACCCGTGGTAGGTTTCCCATATATTACAATACCATTATTGTTTAGTTCACCAACAAAATACCCCAACTTTGATAAATGCTTATTTGTTCCAGTTTGTTTATTTGATAGTTCATATTTTCTGATAGAACTGGAGTAGTAGTGTCACTCTCGTCGGGAGAAATAGAATAACACTGGAAAGAGATTAGCTCCTATCTGTTGGTAAAATATTTAGAAAATTGCTAACAAGACAATATGCATTGAAGCAAAAGAAATCGTCATCATCAAGCTCACTATACGAACACACTATACCCCACTGAGGAGCTCGGAGCCTACCCTCAAGAATGCGACTAGGTCTTATTCAACAACGCAGAGCCAGTGAGGGTTGGTTGACTTCACACATATCTTCGAATATCTATGCAGTTGTATGCAATTTGTAATTACAGTAAGAATGTCGGATGGATGTTATCAAGAAATTCCAAGAACGCATTACTATATAGCGGAGATCGTACCTGGATATGTAAAATATGATCCGGTCAAGCGCCAACTGCACTGCCGACGCTCCAAATAGTCCCCTAATCCAAACTTTTCCTATCAAAACATTGCAAATGTACAAGTCATGTTAAATATTATGTAATGTAAAAATAGAATATAATATTTCAGTTTTACTTCTCAAATTCATAAAATTATCATGAACCTAAAGATTCCGCATATTAACTCTTTTGTTATTACTATTCTCCATAGATGTGTAACCTATAGATTCCTTAACGAGGAAAAATAATGAGCTTAGGAGGCATCATTTTGGGGTAAAGTAAATTTAAATACCTACTACACTGCATTTCCCAATTTCTTCTTCTTCTTCTTCTTCTTCTTCTTCTTCTTCTTCTTCTTCTTCTTCTTCTTCTTCTTCTTCTTCTTCTTCTTCTTCTTCTTCTTCTTCTTCTTCTTCTTCTTCTTCTTCTTCTTCTTCTT